TGCCCCAATTACCACGAAGAATTTATGCCTAACAAAACATCCCTTTTTGTATTGTTATTGATATATGTGATCAATTGTGTGCATGATATTTAGAAGGCTGGTTTATTATTTTTCTCCAATAATATTTCCAAACGGATTGATGTTGAAGAATCAGTGGACAAGTGTGTTTGGGGTGAAATGCCACTCAAATTAAGAGTTAGCTGGTTCTTCTCGAAATGCATTGAGGCGCAACAGTTGACTAGCTAATATCTAGTGGTAAAGCACCATTTTGGTGCAGGCCTCTATAGATGTATTAAATTTATTTATTAAAAGCTTAAACTGATAAAAAGTGGACAGACAAATGTTATATGTTATTATCTGATGCATATGCATGTTGGTTCTCAAAGATTGTCCAGAAATTCAATCAATGAATGACTAAAGGGAAACTCTCACCATTGAATCCCATATACAATAAAAGTGTCCCAATAGGAAGTAGAAATGTAATGAATTGGGAGCCAGTGTTAGGGCACTATCAAAAAGTGAGAGCCCCCAACCCAACTAGAAGCAAACAACAGTAAATCAAAAACATGCCCATGAGATTAGAAATGGGGACCCCCCATATGGTACGCTGTGTTAGAGCATAGCTATACCTTTTTCTTTTCTTATTTTTACTTTACATCATGAGTCAGTGAAGAAAAAGAGAGGCCGGGACTAACTTACTTGGTGCTAGCAGCCAATGGGTTACAATGAGTAGTCTCTCTCTCTCTCTCTCTCTCTCTCTCTCATGCTGCTGCTGTTGCTGCTGGTGGGCAGTGGTCAGTCAGTGGCGACCTCAAAGTGGGGTGGTAGATCAACGTGTACTTGTAAAAGGACATCACCCCTTTGTGGAGGCACACCAGTCACCAGTCATCAGCATCTTTATTCCCACATCCCTGGCATGTGACTTGCACGTTTTTTCACTTGCCACCGGCCCTCTTCCCATTGGCTGTTTCCACCTAAGCCTTACCTTCCTTATAGATAATCTTTTCGCGGCCATGTAATAATGTTAATGCTGGGTTATAGTTAGACAACTTTAATACACAGCCTTTGATATGGAGTATGGCTGGGTTCTCTTGTTTGCTCATGCATACCCTCTTCATTAATTTCAAGATTTGATCAGAAAACTTGGTCCATAAGCAAATACAGCACTTAATTTTCTGCTAATGAAGCAATAATATGTGTCGGTCAATCAGTTTATTCCCCGGAGAATAATTGCTCTTTTTTTGTATATAAACATAGAAGTAAAGAACACACATAACCCACAAACAGATGTATCACAAGGCCTTCAAAGAGAGGTAATATCGTGGTCCATAAATGGATCCCACTAAGTGGATCTATCCACAACCCATGGATAATAGTTGCTCTTACTCTTTGTATCAAGTCAAAGTAATACTGAAATAATAGTGACAGTAAAAGCTTGTGGAATTGGTTTTTATTTTGTATTACATCTTGTCAATTGACATCACTGGTTTTTTAGAGTTAATAACAGTTTTCTTCTCCATTTGACCAACTACCCAAATGAGGAAAAAGTGAGACAAATCTTTTTCATGACTGATCAAGAGTAAGCCTACTGTCTATGCATTATTGATGACAAAATGAAATGTATGGTTTTTTACTACATCAGTTGAATTATGTTTGCCATTGCTGGGTGCAACAGAAATTGTCACTGGTAAAATGTATTCTACTTTAGCTATAAACCGAGGAAGGTAGATGACATCAGAAAGCAGTACATTGTAAAAACTCGTTGTTCTATGTAGTTCTCTTCACCTTGGAAAGAAGCTTATTGCAAGGAAAAAAAAAAGGTGCACATCTTCTAACCAAGTTTAACAATATTTGAATGTTGGCCTTTGATGTTGCTACTCTCATTGGATTCAGGACCTCCTGCTCTAATATCATGTTAACTTATCAATTCATCGCAAAAGTTTAATTTGTCAGGAGGTGAGCTAACAATAAACTTACAGTTCACCTTGCAATACACTTTAAGCCAGTCTCCCTCGACAGAAGATGCATGAGCAAGAGAACCTGATTGCTGCTTACTGATACGTCACTACAAATTTATGATCTTAATTTTTGTTTTTTAAACTCATTTAGAGTCAAAATGGAGGCATAAATCATGTGGCTCTCCTCTAAAGTAATGAAGCACTCTCCAATAATTTGACATACCCTTTGACATCACTGCACCATCATTAACAAATGAGTGGACCCCCCACCATCTGATTGAGATGCCTTTCAATAGATTGTTATGTGGAAAAGCAGAAAAATGATTGTAAGAGGTTAAGCCACGGCTAGTGGAGGCAGAGCCGCTTTAAAAAGAGCCTAACTAGGCCCTCCCAAATCTAAGGAGCATTAGAAGCTAAGTCACATTGGAAAAAAATCACAGTTGGTTCAATTTCATTTTTTTTTTCCATCTAAACTACATATTTTACTCCTTAACTTCATTTATTTTCTAAATTGGGAGAGATAAATAAACAGCCACGGACTAATCTCTTATGCTAATTGGTCTGTAATTAGAACTATGGGTGTTCTTTTTAAAGGTCTGAATGAAAAATTTAAAATAAAATTTAAATATTATGAGAAAACATACTGTAATAAAAATGTAGAATTGTGATTTAAACCGGTAAAAGAACGGGCTATAATCCAATGGCTTGTAAACTACACATGTACTGGTAACCAGGTGAAGTTTTTAGTTTCTGTTAAAGCCTTTGAATGGACATGTTAGATGACAACCAGATAGAAGAATAGCTCAGAAGCAGAATCAGCATAAACATCTATAATGACAAAACCTAGAAATGCCCTTTTTCCCATATGACTTCATAGAGATCAGAGCTTATCAGAAATGCTGCAGTGTACCTAGCTTATTGTACTATTCTTCTTTACTTGGCCCAAACGATAGTACGGTCAGAAGAGAGATCATTGAAAACGTTATGACCACCTTGAAATTATGTTGGTCCAGAGTCTAAGCCCACTACATGAACCCATATGTGTGCTTGTCCATTATTGAGCATTTTGAATTGGCAAATATATAGGTTGCAATAATAAACTTGTGGAAGTAAAAATGGACCAATCATTTGATCCATACAGCCCAACAGCATTGTTGCATGTATGGGCTTGTTGCTAGAAGGGGACATTTCAAAAAAGACTTAAAATTAATTAAAATTAATAGGATAATAGTTTACATAAGTTAATAAATAGGTTAAATTACTGTTTTCATTTATAACTTGTCTGGTTATGAGCCATAACTTGGTAAGTTATTGTCCATAACTTATCTGATTATAAACCATAACTTGACAAGTTTATCCATAACTTATCTGGTTATGAACCATAACTTGACAAGTTATGGCATATTAATTTCTATAACTAAAAAATAGCCTATATATTTTCTTAAGCTTTTCATATTGGCCTATTTCCTACTATTTTCCTTCAAACTATATATCCACCAAAGCGATAGTGCTCTTGAATAGTGTAAATTAGGCCTTATTATAGCAAGTCTAGTTTTTCGACTGTGAAAATTAACAGAAAATTACTGAATTCACATTTTTAAATGCATTGTTCTAATCTTTACTCTTTATTAATACTCTTTTAACTAGTATAGTTATTTAATTAAAAGGTTTTAATTAAGTGTAAGGGATAAAAATCTAAGACTCGTGCATTCTAAAAAATATTTTTCTCTTTTTCCCAAAAATTAAGCTTAAATCTTTTATAAAAATGGTTCGTTTGAAATCCAACTCTTTAAGAGCCCCGTTTATTTCATATACTCAAACTCAAATAATTGATTCTGCTATAGTATTTTCCTTTAACAAAACATTTGAATTTCAAACGTTAGAATTAAGAATCATAGATTGAGTATACATTCTAAATGGGCCCTAAAAGTGTAGTCCTCCATTGTTGTCTCAAGAGCTCGTCTCATTTGTTATCTCACCAATAAGATTTTGTCCCTCAAAGATAAAATTGTTGAACTTATCCTTAAGAGTACATGTATCTAGATTTTTAACTCTTATTCTTCATTATTATCCTTTTCACTAATATAGTTATTTCACTAAAAATGATATTAATCAAGTGTAAGGAATTAAAATTTAGACCCATATACTTTAAATAGTATTTGTCTCATTTTTCTCTTTGCTCAATCATCTAGAGTACTTGAATAACATTGTTATAGTCGCAGGGCTCCGGACAGGCAAGTGTGCGCGCGCGTGTGGGGGTGGGGGGCACACTTTGTTTATCTGCCGTGCAGAACCGGATAGCTTCACTCAAACGTGCAACTAAAAAAATTGGTTTTTAACTTTAAAGTTTGGATAAAATGACAAATCTTGATTTGTTGGATAACAAGATAGTACAAATATATAATGATTCTAAACTCAGCTCAATTGTAATATCATACAAACTTTTAATATTATGGTTACTAGTTAAAATTCCTCATCCCAAGTTGTAAAGAAAAAAAAAAAGCTTAAAACAAAAAGGGACGCCAATAATATTGATTTTCATAATCCAACACCAATATTTTCACACATACGAAATCGAAAGAAAGGAAAGGAAAGCATAAAAAGTATCAGAGAGTACCATTCCAAGCTACATTTTTACATCCCACCAAAAAAAAAAAATTGTTACGTACTCACATTAGGATATAAATTCAAGATACCATGATTACAAGTTGAATTTAGGAAAAGAAAAAAAAAGAAAAAGAAAAAAACACAAACACAGTTTTGAGTTGCATAAATGGCGTGTACTATGTGTAGTGTACATACATATTCAGAGACAGTGAGATGAGCAGACCGGTACCAACTTTATGCAAATAGTTGGTCAAATATGAAACTTGTGGGACACTCAATAATGAAAATCAAGTGTGAGCAATATTCCACTCATAAAATGGAACAAAAGCGTGTCGCTTTCTTGGGGGCAAAAGGTCAAAAATATGTGTATTTATATAATATATATATATATAAAATACATTGATCTTGTGTTTTTGCATACAAGAAAAAGAAATAGAGAGGCTGTGAAGTGTGAAGTAAGGATGCCATGATGGGAATTGGAAACAATAATTTGGTGCCGTTTGTGGGAATGGTATTGGCGATTCTGGCTCAAACAAGCAATATGGTAATAGCAAAAACTGCCATGTCCCATGGCACAAACAAGTTCATCATGGTCGTTTACTCTAATACCATCTCTAGTCTTATCCTTCTTCCTTGCTCTTTCTTTTACCACAGGTACTTAATCTCTCTCTCTCTCTCTCTCTCTCTCTCTCTCTCTCTCTCTCTCTCTCTCTAAATATTGTTCTATGAAACATTCATGATCTATGTGATGTTTTAAGCACTGTTGTTATGAACAGGTCAAACAGGCCTTCAATGACTTCTTCCTTATTCGGTAGATTCTTCTTGCTCGCCTTGTTTGGGTGAGTAAACTATAAATTTGATCACTATTTCTGTCTACTTCTTCTCATTAAGCAATGTTCTAATCACTTTGTGCCTTGTTTATAGTTCACTTCTTTTATGAAACGTTGACCTTTTGTTTTATTATTCTTGTGTCCAAGAAGAGAAAAGACATTCTCTTAAGTACTTAATTGATTCCCATAATATTGCAGGTGTTCTGGACAGATTTTTGGGTATGTTGGGATAGAATACAGCTCTCCGACGCTCGGAACCACCATGTTTAATCTCATCCCGGCATTCACTTTCATACTTGCAGTCATCTTCAGGTTCTGCCTTCTTCTTCTTCTTCTTCTATTTTGTTGTTTTTTTTAATAATATTTTCTTTGTACGTTTTAAGTAGGGACCCATATTTTTAAAGATTCCTTTAACATCATAAATTTCTAAGTTGGAGAACTACTTGTGTTTCTATAGTAAAAAACTTTCAAAAAATATCACATTTAATTTGTTCTGTTACTGAAAAACTCTCAAAAAATGTCACATCTCAACTCGAATTGAAAACTCGTATCTGCGAAGTGAACGAGCCCGCATGTGTATGATAATGACATATAAGGGAATCGCCCGGCCGATTATGAAATTATCTTTTGCAACTTGGGAATGATCTTCATTTGGGTGAGGGGAAAAAATAAAAAAAATAAAAAAAAAACCCAATTACAGATAGTGAGAAAAGGCTTACTTGCTAGTACTAGTACATGTTTCTTACCATAGAACCGCCTAATACAAAGGATAAGTTTGCTTTGGAGCCAGTTAGATGAGAAAAAGTCGGGTTAAGCTCATTTTTCATCCTCAAATCAATTGCAGAATTTCATTTTAATATGAGTCCCTGATCTATATAATTGTTTTAAATTAAATTAGTCTTTTCATCTATCTAGGTCTAGTTCACTTTGCGGATTTGAGTTTTCAATTCGAGTTTAAATGTAATATTTTCTGAGAGCTTTTAATTGTAGCAGAAAAAATTAGATGTAATATTTTCTGAGAGCTTTTAACTGTAAAATCCTATAATTGAAAACTCGAATCGGTGAAATGAACGAGACCATAATTGTTAAAATCTCAAAGAAAAAGAGGCATGTGCGGACTATATATGTGATTTATGGAGTGAATTCTGTAATTTTACATAGTGTTAGCACATGCTTCCTACCATGAAAGCGCCTAATTCAAAGGATAAGTTTGCTAATGGGATCAAGTAGGTGGGACAAAGATAATCAAGCACAATGGTGATTAATATTGGAATTAGTAACCTCTTTTTTTTTTTTTTTTGGTAAAGTGTTAGAATTAGTACTTCTCTCCTATCTTATTCTACTGTTCATGGGCCCTCCAATGTTCTCTTAAAATGTGGATTGGTTTTATAGGATGGAAACTCTGTATTGGAGAAGCTCAAGTAGCCAAGCTAAAATCTTGGGGACCATTATGTCAATGATTGGAGCATTTGTTGTGATATTCTATAAGGGCCCACCAGTCGTTAAAAGACTTCCAATTTCCAACTTATCTAATCAGCTTCTTTTCTCTTCTCACTCACATTGGATACTTGGAGGCTTCTTTCTTGCCAGTGATTGTTTTGTATCCTCTTTATGGTATATTGTGCAGGTTAGGCACTTTTAACCTCATTTACTTTCAATTATGTCATTCCTAGTAATTCTCTTGAACTTCGAAATTTTAACTCTATAGAAAATTAAAATGTTTTACCCTAAAAAAATGATTTTTTAAAAAAAAAAAAGTTTAATGGTATTAAAATATGTACTAAAGAACTATATCATGTATTTATTTTTCAATCAATATTTGCAGGCATCAACTCAGAAGAAGTACCCAGCAGTGCTGTTGGCAGTCTTATATCAAATCTCACTCTCAGCAGTTATGTCTGCAATATTTGCATTAATTGTAGTTAAAGATGCAAGTGCTTGGAAGCTAAAACTTGACATGGGTTTGGTTTCTATTTTGCACACAGTAAGAAGCTTAGAGGCCCAGTTATTTACTATTTACCACTTTGTGTGATGACATTTCAAAATCCACTAATATGTTGATTAAACTATAGTGTGACTAATTGCAATTTAAAAAAAAATTAAAAAAAATTCATAAAATTTTGTAGGCAATTGTGTCAACTGTGATCCGCTACAGCTTGATTACCTGGTGTGTGTCGAAAGCTGGGGCTTTTTATTGTGCTATGTTTAAGCCTTTGGGGATAATCTTCACTGTTTTTATGGGCGCCATCTTCTTGGGAGAGTCCTTCTACCTTGGAAGGTAAACTAGTTCTTACAATCTCACGAAAACAAACAAACAAATAAATAGAGAAATGCTAGTTTCATTAGTTCTTTAACCGGTTAGACATTGACATATGAGACTGTAGAATTTAGTGTCATAATTATAAGGTCTCAGAATTAACATGTGAATGGTTGAAAACATGCGTTGACCATCAATAATAGTAATATATATTGCTATATTGTTCTAAAATAAGGTTATACAAACTTTGACCGATGGAAATTAGTAGCTGATTTACAATATGGCTACATAAAAGGAAACAATATTGTCCTGTTATTATATATATTTTGATTTATCTATAATGGATTAAATGAAGCTAAGAGACACAATCCTAAAGTTGGGCGTTGTTCTCCTCTTCCTCTAAAGTTTTTGACTTCGATAACTACTTTTTTTTTTTCGCAGTTTGATTGGAGCTACTATAATTGTGACTGGTTTTTATGTGGTGATGCGGGGAAAAGCCAAAGATCAAGAGAAGGTGGACAGTTCAGAATCATCACTTGACCACAATTCCCCTTTACTCTTGAACAAAGCACAAGACAAACAAGAATTGCCAATCTAGAAACTTCTCTGAATTCCTTGTCTAATAAGCCATATTGCAACCATACTATTGGAGATATTAGATTAAATGAGATTTCTCGGTTCCTTGATTTTAGCTTTCGTGATTGTATTGACTTTTGATTATTTCCTTTTGTAGCTTTATTTTACTTTTCTCTAATTGTTGTACAGTTGGCTATATATAGTCTTATATTGCCCCTATACGAATAAGAAGAATTATTCCACTAAAACTTTGTCTTCTTCCTATTTCTCTTTAAAGTTTTTGTGAAACTTCGCTGAATTCCTTGTCTAATAAGGCATATTGCAACCATACTAAGAACAAAAATCAGAGAAAAAGAGTGATATAGGAAGTGTAAGCTTATAGGTGTTATAAGTTATAAACCAGTTCAGTAAACAAGGGAAGAGTTTTGAGCATTCAACAAAATAGAGAGTGTCTAGATAGCATCATAATGTAAACGCTAGTACATAAGTTAGATCACTTTACTCATTGACTGCAAAAAAAAATATCATCTTTATTGGGAAACTGATCAGTACATTGTACAATGTTTTGTCTTGATAAGAAAATCTTACCCTGAGTTGAACAGCAAATAAAATGAGACAAATAACTGATAATTAAACCCTGATTAGAAGAAAGAACGTCTTGTCGTTTTCACATTGTTTTGTCATATCTCTATAGATATATTGTTTATTCATTTTTAATTATGATGTCATTGTTTTATGTCATTTTCTCGTTGCGTGTTGTATGTCTATAAATGTGTTGTTTATCATGTTGTTGTCGTATTGTATGTTCCGTTGCATTCCATGTTTCGTCGTTTCTCCTTCAATATATGTTAATGAAGAATTTTGTTTGCCATTTTTTTTTAGAAAATGAGACAAATACTTTTTAAAATGCATGGTCTTAGATTTTTACATTTTACACTTTATTAATATCCTTTTGTCAAAAAATTATATTAATTAAAAGAATATTAATAAAGAATAAAGAGTAAAAATCTTAAAATAATATATTTAAAAGATGAGTTCACTAATTTTTTCTTTAAAAAAAAATACGTTTCCTTTCATATTTTCTTTTCTTATGATATGTTGTCGTCTAATCCTTCTTTTCTTATGATAATGGTGTTGTCTTATTCTCTTTCCGTATGTCTAACAATTTTATTACGCTCTTGTCGCTTCTTGTCCGCTTTTTTCCCTTGTTTGTAGTCGTTTCTCCTTCAACGTGTCATTTTTAATTTCTAGTTGTTCGTGTGTTTCTCATTGATATTGTCTTTCTTAACGATGCTGCCGCTTTTCAATTTCCGGTGGGTGCAGGATCTCTTATTTTTGCTGTTCTCATTTAGTGCACCACAGAAATAAACTAGAAATGTGATTTGAGTGAATCAACTCTGTTAGAGATTCCCCTAAAGTTAAATAACGAAAAAAAAATTAAGAAATGTTAGAAATTAATATTCTTAGATATTACTAGCTGATATCCACCGCGTTGCTGCGGAAAATATCATTATATTATATAAAAAATTTAGGGTTTTTGTAGTACAAAATTAATTTACATATATATATATATATTCACATACATATATATAGTATTGTAGCTGTAAATATATATACAACTATATTTATATATAGATATAGATATATATACAGTATTTTTATTTAAACTTTTTTCTGATGAAACATTGTTGTTGTTTTGCTTCTTTCTCTTGTTTTTTTTTTAATTGCAAGATAAAATTTTAGAAAACAGAAAATCGGAGACAAAAAATGCAGAAAAATGATAATAAAGACAAACGATTAGGAAGAACAAAATCTATCATATAAAAAAGTGTGGAAATTGACCGAATAAGAAGAACAAAATGGATGTAATGAAAGCATGAGAGAAACAGTAAAGATCAATGTTTCGATCAAGATGATCAAAAAGGCTCAACTGCAAAACAAATTTAGAAATAAAAAACCGAGGACAGAAGCTTACAATTATATTGTAGAGGAGGAAAAGAATCAAAGGTTTGAGCATAGGATAGAAAGAAGAAAAAGAGCAAAAAAAATAAAAATAAAAATAAAAATAAAAGAAAAAGTCAAAAATTCAATTTTTGGAAGCATACTAAATATAGAAATATCAAAAGTCTAAAATAAATAAAAACTTCAGATAAACAAAAATTGAGTAACATAAAAGAAATGCTAGTGTATGAATGAGTAAGTGTGATAGAATAATAAAAGTTAATACATCAAGGAAGCAGTAAAGGTCAGTATTTCATTTCCATCAAAATGATCAAGAAGGCTCAACTGTAAAAAAAAATTGAGAAATAAAAAACTCAGAACAAAAGCTTACAATCATATTGTAGAGTAAGAAAAGAGTCAAAAGTCCCGCACAGGAGACAGAGAAGAAAGGGGGCAAAAAAGAAAAAAAAAAAGAATAAGTCAGAAATTCAAATTGAAGAAACAACCAAAATAGAGAAATATGAAATGTCCAAAATAAGTGAAAATCGAGTGACATAAAAGAAAAACTAGTATATGAATAAGTAAATGTTAAATAGAATAGTAAAAGCTAAGACATCAACAACAGAAAGACAAAGCTAATCTATGTATAAATAAGTTTTCAATCAAATACTAATATCAAAAGACCAAAAGGACCAGAATAAATGTGAAAAAAAAGGAAAAAAAAGAGGAGATGGAGAAATAAACCGGGAAAAAAAATTGATAAAGAAGAATGAGCAAAGGCAAATTCAAAATAAGGAAGATATAATCACAACAATTTTTGGATAACTTATATAAAACTTATGATGTCAAGATTGATCAAAATCATCCTTGCCACAGTAAATACTGAACAAAAGTAAAATATGTCTACCGAATAAAAAGGTAAAATTCATCTGCAAAAAAAGGAAAGTGTATGTGTGTGTGTATATATATATATATATATATATATAAGTTTTGAACGAAATATTCATTCAGAAGAGGCAAAAAGGTCAGAGTAACTAATAAAAAAGAATAGAGATATGGCCAATACATTTTAGTAAAAGTAGTTAAAAATAAGTATATGAAACAAAGACACATATATATATATATATATATATCGCTGAAAAATAAATAAACAGGGACTTAATGTATGAGCAAAAGGTAGTAATCAACAACAAGAAAAAAAAAGGGTGGAAAGAAAAGAGGTAGTTTACTAACACTTATTAACAATAGAACAAAATTTTTCTGAGCATCATATAGTAGTAACATCCATTTAATAACATAATAAAATCATTTATGAACGGAAGCAAACCAATATATGTAACATCAACAACAAATATTGAAAAGTTGCGGGCAAGGATCATTAAAAGTACCTAGAATGCTATAAACACTTCCTTAAGTGTGAAATGTCGACCAACCAAATGCAAACAAAAAGAAAAAAAAAAGGATGCAGAGATAGCAGAAGAAAGCAGTAAATGATGGAGAATGAAGTAGAGCAGTAAATGATCAAGTGTCAAATGTTGAAGAGAATGAGTAAAGTGTAAAGGAAGTAAACGGAGATATATAAAATGTATTCATGTGCAACATCAGTATTTATAAATAAAAAATAGGAGAAGAATTACGAAGAGTGTATAACCTATATGAGTCTCACACGTAACAACAGAATATCAGTTTAGAAACAATAACAAATTGATATTTCTTAATTAAATAATAAGGGCCGTATATGATTACAGTAAGAAGAAGGAAAAAAGACAGAATAAGGATTAGATAATGATCATCTCACACAAAGGAAAAAAGGAGGAAAAATAGAAAGAAAAAGGTCTCAGAACAATTTCTTTTTCCAAAATTTCTCACATATTTCAGACAATAAAGGGAAAAATTATCAAGTCACTTAATAGCTCTGAATTGAAATCAGTATTGATCACCAACCTAGGTAGACAAATCAACACTCTAAATAATTCAGATAAGCAGATTAATAAATGCAGAAGGAAAAATCTAGAATAATCTGTACACACGATGAAATCAGCAATAGAAAAGATCAAACATGCAGGTAAAACCCTTTTCTGCACAAAAGAATCAACTGAAGAAAGAAATAATAATCACAAAAGTATTTTAGGAAAACCCTTTATATTATACAGTAAAAAACGAAATAAATTTTAATAAATTTAGGAGAATTTGAACACAACAAACACCAAAGAAAACATGGAATAAAAAGACCATGAAATTTAACCGGAGCAACCACAGAGGAACAAAACCAACAAAAATGGAGGAAAAAATATTAAAAGGGGAAAAAAAGGGAAGCACAAAACATGCACTCCGGCGAGGAGATAGAAAACCAAACCAAAATGGCAGATCAACCCAATGGAGAAGTAGGCAAGAGGAATCGAAAAACCCTCCACCAAAGCCAAGTTGAACCATAAAAACGTCCATCAAAACCAGAGAAAACGCCCAAACGAAATCGAAGAACCAAAGCCCAGATAACCGACAACGAAGAACAAATGGAAGCCCCCAATTTCACCAAAATCAGATGACAAAAGGCAAAAAAAATAGAAGCACCGAAGAAGATAACCAGAGTTTCTAAAGAAATCCACCGAAAGAGAGAGAGATGACAAAAGGTCGCAGAAGGTAGAAAACGGAACGAAAAAAAGTTTCTCCAGAAACAAAGAAAAAAAAATAAAGATGTAAAAGGTTGTAGAAAGCAACAAACGCAAAGGAAAAAAGTAAAACATTCAATCTGAGTGCAAATGACCAAAACAATCAGATTATACCAAAACAAATAAAATTAAAATAAAGGGTAATATAATAACTTTAAAAAGGACATAACAAGAATAAACATTTAAGTGAAGAAATAAGTACAGGTAAAACAGGCTAGACACTGTTCATTGCACTGTAACATAACAGTAAATCCGTCATCTCTTTTAGTATATGTATAATATTATTCTCTGTTTTTTTTTTCCCAAAGAGTAAGACTATTGGCCATGAATCTAGATCTTGGAAATTCAGAACTTGCACATTGAAATGGTCGCTTAGTTTGTGATTTATTATCAATTTTTCGCTCCTTTCAACCAAAAAAAAAAAAAAAAAAAAAAAAAAACCAATTTTTCACGTAGGAAATTATGTGAAAATACGCAACAGAAGCACATAGCTTCGATATCTAAGTAGAGCATCTAGCAGCTGTTTTATATAGCACCAATCCAAAGCAACGCTCAAACAAAATAATAAAAGGAAACCATGATGCATAACCAAATAAAAAATTCTGTCCGCTGCGAGACCCAACAATAGAAGGATCTAGAACTCTAACTCTAAATTAAAAAAACAAAGGTTACTCTTTGCTTCTACTACAAAAGGAAAAGAACAAAACTTTCAGTTCATGTTCAAGCATACAACTTAAGTTCGAGTCTCCTTTTAAGTAACGAGGACACAAAACGCAAAATCTCCTTCTGGTTGCTCCATACTTCGTTTCCAAATCAACGGTTGGCCTTGGCAACTCTTTCAATCTCATCCTTCTTTTTGATGGCATAGCTGTATATAAGTGGTCAACATTGAGTTAGAAAGGGGAACAAAATCAGGACTAGTAGCGATTATAATCAAGGGTATTGTGGATTAGTAGCGGTTATAATCAAGGGTATTGTGGACTAGTAGCAATATTCTACATGATCCCTGAAAGCAGCGTTTTGCTTACCTGTTGGATGAACCCTTGGCAGCGTTAATAAGCTCATCTGCCAAACACTCTGCAATCGTCTTTATATTTCTGAAGGCAGACTCACGAGCACCAGTAGTGAGAAGATAGATGGCCTGGTTAACACGCCGCAGAGGGGAAATATCAACGGCTTGACGCCTCACAACACCAGCAGATCCAATACGGGTGGCATCTTCCCTTGGCCCACTGTTTGTAACAGAGATATCAAACATAAGAATAAGGACACATATGAAGCACAGAAACAATCATCAGCAGTCGAAGCTAGAAATCATTCAAGCATCTGATTACCTATTGACAACAGCATCAACAATGACTTGAATGGGGTTCAAGTCGGTCAGCAAATGGATAATTTCCATAGCATGTCTAACAATCCGCACAGCAATCAACTTTTTCCCATTGTTACGGCCGTGCATCATAAGTGAGTTTGTAAGCCTCTCCACAATTGGACACTGGGCCTTCCTGAAGCGTTTGACTGAGTACCTCCCAGCAGTGTGAGGAACATAAGTAGCGTGCTTGGCCGGCACGACACCAATGTAATCAGCCAGACTGATGTCATTTACCTATGTCAAACCACAGAAATGGGGCAGAAAAAAAAAATCATCTCAAAATGTAGGCATAACTGTGACAGAGAAACCTAATGGATACAACAAAATGATCAGCTACAAAAACTGTTCACTAAAAAAATCAGACTCAATATTCAACAAGAAAAAGCAACGATAATAGGAAAGCAAGAATGAGCAGTCAACGGTAGTAAATACAAGTTTATATGATGGTATCAAAAAGTCAAACAACTAAGCTAAGCAATTCTGAAATGGGAAAATAGATAATCAATTAGTTAAGAATTAGAATACCAAGCATAGAACAATTAACATTAAGTATCAAATGAAGAACAACTAAGAATATAGGATTTATCACTCCATCTACCAAAATCACAAGTTCAATACAACAATGCATCAAGTTAACGCATTTGCAAAATAAACATAAATGTTATTTTCAAACATTCATTGGGTATAGCAATTAGCACATACCAAGTTTACACGCAATTGTAAGAATCTAACGTAAACGGCAGAACAGAACTTCAAAAACTCATTGTTGTAGGATATAATTCGAACATATATTGAAGAAAAAAAATCACTCTTTATCCTATTATTACCAAGTACCAACAAATCTAACTAGGTAGCAGAAAACCTGCACTTCTATGAAAGATCCATTTATTAGTTTTCAATGACATAAATTATCCAAATATCTTCAGTTCTGATGAAAAAACAAAGTCTTTGTAACAGAAAAATAGATTGAAACCTGAACATCCTCAAAACTCCAGCGGTTGAAGAGCTTCACGTCAAAGTGAGGCTGAGATGGGTCCTGAACTACTATGTCAGCCATGGCTGCAAAAGTCAGGTCAGATCTCATGAACAACCGTATAATCGTACAATCTAAACACAAAGTCCCGAACGTAAACAAAACTAGCATACGGAAGAAAGAGGGAAAAAAACACAAAAAGAGAAAATATTCTGCAAATGAACGACCGGAACATATGAATTCATCATATTATTTAAGAAAATCACAAACAATAGGAACCAGAAAAGACCAATTACAATTTTCACTGTTCCCAAAGTTGAAGCTAACAATAAATCTGCAAAAGCATCAAAAGAATCGTTTTTTTTTTCCTACGTTTTCTGAGCAACCAAACGAATCGGAATCCAAATTGAAACCAACATGAATCAGGAATATATATAGTGAACAGATCTAAAAGAACAAAGAAGAGTAAAGAAAATTACTGGAAGCTCGAGCAGGATGAAATCGGCGAACGCGCTGTTCTGTGGCGGACTTGAAGTTTAAAGGAAGCGGAGGCGAGTGCGCATAAGAGAGGGAGAAAGAAAACCCTAGTTAAAAGCGTTTTTTAAGTCCTACCTGTAGTTCGTGGGCGCGAGTCACCAGATTCTCGCCCTCTTATTACATTGTTTTAGGGTAAATTGAATATACGGTCAGCTTATCTCTAATTTTTTTTTTTTTTAGTAAAAGGATTCTCAAACTCTTTAAAAGATGTTAGTTTGGTTTTTAATTTTTTTTGTAAAACAACCCCCAAACTTTTTAAAAGATAACAGTTTGGTCTTTTTTTTTTTTTTTTTGCAAAACAACCTCTAAACTCTTTTTTTTCAAATAATACTTGCATTTTAAAATTATCAAAAGGGAAAGAAGATAAATACCTCTTAAAGTGTATGGGTTTAGATTTTTATCTCTTTTTCTTGACTAATATCATTTTTAGTCAAATAATTATATTAATTAAAAATAATGAGTAAAACTTTAGACCCATACACTCAAAGTAAGTTTAATAATTTTCTCATTATTATCAAATGAGCATACTTTATATTTTATAGTATATATATACCTTGAGATTTTAAGTTTGTGCTCAATTTATATATTTTTCTTAGCCAGCGATAAATTTGTAAGGAAAATACCTAAAAATCCTTAAAAGAACGAGTAAGAATAAAAAATTAAAGTTTAAAATATAAAAAACATTTAGGGGACGTTTGTTTCCTATATTTATTATTGATTTTGAATCATGATTCATGGTTCTCTACGGTATTTTTTATCATAAAAATACACGTAAAACAAAAATAATTCTGAATACATAAACCAAACGATAGATCCATTTCATAGTAAAAAACAATCTTTGATCGAAATTCGAATTGAGTCATGTTCTATCTTGTCGTTTTTACTGTGGTGCTATCGTTTTCTAATATTGAACACGACGATAAATAATTTATTGTCGTTTTTTAATTAGTCAAGAAAAACGACAACAAACAAACAACTGTAGTTTGTAATATTATTGTCGTTTTGTCATCGATGTCATTTTCATCCTTGTTTATTTATTTATTTTCCGAGTTCGCCTTCTTTTTGGAAAAAGTCAAAGAATCGCCAAAACCATCAAAGATTCCGTTGTTGTTCAACCAATAATAAAACATCAATAAAACTCGTGAAAGATTCCCTTCTTTGTAGTCGGGTTGGAATTGGATTGCAAAACTCAAGTTTCCGACTCTGAAGCGCAACAATTCCCAGCTTGTGTCGTCGTTTATCCACTCCCGCCGGCGATTTCAAGAGCCAAAACGATGGCCAGTAAGGTCGTGGCGCTGCCAATAGTGGGCATGGTCTTATCGGAGTGCGCGCAAGTTGGGCTGATGATTGTCAGCAAAGCCGCCATGTCCGATGGAATGAGCAGCCTCCTCTTCATCTTCTACTCCAACGCTCTCGCTTCCCTTCTTCTCCTTCCTATTTCCTTCATCTTCCACAGGTACTTGCCATAATATCTACTTACCATGTTTCTACGACTCGTCGTTTACAAACCACAATTACCCACAAAGATTTTTGCTGCTTTTTCCAATATTCTCTGCAGAACACAGCGTCCTGCGCTCACTTTCTCTGTCCTTTGCGGGTTTTTCTTGCTTGGTCTACTTGGGTAAGTTCTGAGATTAGTAAGCTTTTTTGTGTTATTTATTTATTATTCCCAATTTACTTTGGTGGGTTTGATTTAGATTTCAGTTCAGATGCTGATTGTATCATTTTCATTGCAGTTGTCTTATACAGGTCTTTGGGTATGCTGGGATTTATTATAGTTCCCCAACTCTTGCAACAGCAATGCTCAACCTTGTTCCAGCTTTTACCTTCATTCTTGCGGTTACTCTGAGGTAATGCTTCTTTTTCAGGCTCCCTTATATCACAATTATGTAACCTTTCTTTCGTGCTTAGAGATTTTTCTTTTTGTTAGTGGAGTCATTTTAGCTTAGCTATGACACTAACAATGATGCCAATCCATGTGTAATAGTATTATTGCTATAGTAATGCTATTGTTTTTCTTCCTACATTAGATTTAGGGCCCGTTTGGTTCATGGGTTCAAGTTAGTGATTTTGATTCTGAAATTCAAATTTTATGAGAGAACTCATTGGTTGGAACTTTTTTTTATTTAAATTTTTTGTGAGAAAAAAATCTTTACAGAATCAGAATCATGAGTTTAAACGCGTGTAAGATACCTATCCAAAAGTTTTCGCAACTCAATCATATATGATGGAATCATAAAAAATTTGACCATTTCGAACTCTTTCTTTAACTCACTATAGTTTTGAGAAACAAAAAGAAGATATGTACGAACAAAATATCCAGCAACAAGAAGAAGGAAACGGATTGAATAGAGGAACTCCCGAACATTTGGCGATCTCAGATGTGTCGATATCAATAGTGACTGATTATTTCAATGAATCATTTCTTTGAACATAAGAAGATTATGTAACACTTACTTGAAATCTCTAAACTTAAATTAAATAATATTAACAATTAAATAATATTAAAAATAAGTATTATTAAATAATCTCATAGGAATATATAGTAATTAATACAATATCCTTATTCTAAACGCCCTGTGATCTTCAACCAATTATGCGCTTCAATATAATTACCAGGAGTGAGCGCTAGAGCTTGTTTCCAATATTCGGCAGCTTGATCGAACCAAGCTTTTTTCCTCTCATTCATTTTTTTTGGACTTTGGTTTATATTCTCCGCTTATTTATCTTATGTTTAGTATTTAGTCAACTTTTATTCTATTCTATTAGATATTAGAATAGAAAACAATTGATTCATTATATGGCATTTAAATCTGACAATAATGACATAATCATACCACCTCCATTTTATTTTGATTGTAAAAACAAAGAAATAAAGAAGAGGTAAGTAAAGTCAAATAGTCTTTTGTGCAATCCCGATCATGATTTTCCTACCCCTAAAGGGAAAGGTCCTTCCCTTTTTGGCCGGTTGTGGGCCAGGAGGGATTCAAACCCCCGACACCGTGGTTCATAGCCACGTGCTCTAATCCTCTGAGCTACAGGCCCCACCCCATCTTCACTGAATCTGTTCCCAAGAGTACCCTAAGAAAAGGAACCTTTCCTCTCCCCGGTTAAGAAGATGTGAAGTGCCTCTCTCTATATAAGAACGGTGCGTTTCGAGGTGTGAAGTGAGAGAGAAGGGATTTCATAATTAGGGTTTTGAATAAAACGACCCTTTCACCAAACGGGCCTTTAGACGTTGAATTTGCACCAATAATTCTCCTTGTTCTCCATACTATGTTCTGCTTTGACCACTTACTTGCAGTACAGGCTATTTTAACCTTATTGTTTCCTTTCCCTCAGTTCATCTTTATTTGCAAATGCTAACACTATTGCAATTGCTATAGTTGGCATAACAAAGTATAAAAATGACACATATGTTGTTTTATCTTGTTCTTGTGCTGCAATGCATAATATTGTTTTAATGCTACGTCTATTTTTGTCATAAACTTTAAGCTTTGAACCTTGGAAAAGGAAAATGTTTTATTTTTAAATATTTGAAAGCTGGCAATGTTGTAATTGTTATGTGAAAAAGTCAACACATCAACCAATAAGGGCCGTTTGGTTCATGCATTCACACCAGTGATTCTTGATTTTGGCATTTGAAATTCAAATTTTTTGAGAGGAAAACACTGTAGTAGAATCAAAACCATGAGTTTAAAAGCAAGGAAACAAGCAGGCCCTAAACAACCAACATCAAAGTTGAACATATGCTATACTTAGTGCTAAATTTGGTACAAGTATAGCATTATGCCAAATTAAATATTGACTATAGTATTGCATTGGGAAACAATTTTCTTACCAAATATTAAATTTTGGCATTGTCATGAGAAATGTACATTTCATTAGCGATGCTCTTAGTCTTAAGAGTGTTTTGGCATGACAGGTACTTTTCGGCTGAGGAAGGTTAAATCTAATGCAAAGTTGGACTTTGGCAGTCTATTATTGTATCAGATGATAGTACTAACTGGTGTTTGATTCTTAATACATTCATATGGTGACTCCAGGATGGAAATATTAGATTGGGGAAGCTCCACTAGTCTTGCTAAAACCGTTGGAACTATAGCTTCACTTGTTGGAGCTTTCGTTGTGACTTTCTATGATGGTCCCTCACTTCTAAGCACATCCTCATTGTCCAACGTATCTTATAAGAAACTTCTCTTCCAACAATCTAACTGGGTTATTGGAGGATTCCTTCTCCTTGTTGATGCTGTGATGACGTCAGTTTGGGTTATTATACAGGTTAAATTCTATAAATAAGAGCCGAGTGCACATGAAGTTGATTAGAAATCCACCCTAGTTACATGTTTTCCTTTGTTTTAGGCATCAATCCTAAAGAAATACCCAGCAGAACTGATCCTGGTCTTTTTCTACTGCTTCTTCGTCTCTATTCTTTCGGCGGTAGTCTGTTTATTCGTGGAAAGAGACCTAAGTGCTTGGAGCTTGAAATCTAGAACAAGGCTCTTTTCTGTCCTGTACTCGGTAATATGATACAATAACTCAAACGTGCTTAACTTGCTAACATGCTCTCTAGAAGAGAAGTTGCTAAAAGCTTTTAAGTAATAATGTTATAGGGAGTTTTTGGCTCTGCCTTCCAAGTCGGTGTATCTACATGGTGCCTGTACAGAACCGGACCCGTTTTCGTGTCTATGTTCAAGCCTTTGGGGATTGTCATTTCAGTTGCTGTGGGTGTTATTTTCTCTGGGGAGACTCTCTTTCTTGGAAGGTTGGCTTCTACCTTTTGGTTTTTTTCTTTTTTTTTTTTTTCCTATGTTATTTGGTTGGTAACTGTTGCTGAGAACAGACAGTTCATTCTTCATTAGTATTGTGAAAAGGGCATGACTAAGCATAATAACTTGACGCAGATTGCTTGGAGCAATTATTATCATCGTTGGATTTTATTCTGTGCTGTGGGGAAAAGCCACAGAGGCAAAGATTGACAAGGACCTAGTAAGTAGCTTAGAATCAAGTACAGACCAGGAACCACTCCTGCAGAACAGTAATGAAGAGCACAATAGCTTTGTCCAGAAAATCAGTAAGGGATCTTCCTTGCAATGCAAATTTGCTGCTCTATTTTTTCTCTCTGTAATGAGTGTATAAAATACGGCTGTATATACACATTCAAACATGCATTTAAGCATCCATTTTCTGTTCATATATACTGTTAGTTTACCAATTCATCCCAAAAGCTTTAGTTATTAGGAGGTGGGCTGACTGTAGTTTTTATATTTTTATATTTCAACATATACGGATTCATAGACTTGTTTATATAGACACATCCGTATAGGAACATATATAGTATTCTTGTTGACACCTACTATTGCATCTTTTATAGAGTCTTGATGGGTTGACGTTATTTAAACAGCTCTTTCTGGTGAATTAGAGAAATATTAATTCTTGAAATATTCTATGGAAAATTTAAGTCCAATTTATACATAAAAGTAGGACAGGTGAATAACAAGACTCTAAAACTGATATCCAACCTAATTTACACCAGCCTTTTTCTCCGGCCTGGTCCACCAAAGGTGGATCAACATTGGCGGATGCATACAAACCTTGGGCCTAAAATCCATGATGTTGTTGTTTTGGGTCAGACCAATCATTTGAGTTGGTTAGCATTACTTCAGTTAGATGAAATAGGTCCACTTTTGGGAAGAACAAGAGAAACTGAGTGCGTCACAATCTAACACTCTTGTCTGCACTCATGTAGCATCTGAAGGTAGATTTCACCAAACGAAGCCGTCAGATTAAATGGTAGTCAAGCATTTTAGTTATGATCAAGTTTTTCTTAGTTTCCTTTGCGAGTGCGATTTACTGTAAAATGGTAATTTCATACGGTAAATATTCTGTAGAGACTGAGGTCTGTTCATTGATGTTTCAATTGGGGATTTCTGAACTTAGGATGGTCAACTTAGTTCTTTGGTATACGTATTTTTAATTCATAGAATGTTTCAGCAAAGCAGAAATAATTTAATTTATCCGGCAAGATGACAGGTATTATTTTTGTATTTAAGTACTATATATGTAATCAGATTTGGTCATGTTCAACCGACCTGATTCATATTTAGTTCTTTTCTATGTTTTTTCATATATAGTATGTCAAAGCATGACAATGCAAAAAGTCGGTGTATCTGAGCCTTGTTGCTGGTATTTGGTTCATGAAAGCATATGCTGTTAGAGGCATGCTCAACTACCAAGTACATGAACGAATTTTCTTGTTTATTTTAATTTTTTTTAAAAGAAGAAAAACCAGAGGACGATGTGGCTTTCACATTATTTGGCGCCTCCAATTTTGAGGAGGCAGGTTTAGTCTAAGGGCCTGCTATGTTCAGTTGAACGTCTGAAGTGTACGTAGTGTTTCAACAGTACGTTTCTATCGTCATTGCGTTGATACGAATTATTTTATCCCTTGATGAGTTGGATAAAGCATACCGAAATACATTTGACATTTTTCTCTGAGAATTCTCTAATTCATTTATTCCATTTTTATCCATTACTGGGAGATAACCACTCCTGCAGAACAGTAATGAAGAGCATAATAGCTTTGTCCAGAAAATCAGTAAGGGATCTTCCTTGCAATGCAAATTTGCTGCTCTATTTTTTCTCTCTGTAATGAGTGTATAAAATATGGCTGTATATACACATTCAAACATGCATTTAAGCATCCATTTTCCGTTCATATATACTATTTGTTTACTAATTCATCCCAAAAACTTGAGCTATTAGGAGGTGGGCTGACTGTAGTTTTTATATTTCAACATATACGGATTCATAGACTTGTTTATATAGACACATCCGTATATGAACATATATAGTATTCTTGTTGATACCTACTATTGCATCTTTTATAGAGTCTTGATGGGTTGACGTTATTTAAACAGCTCTTTCTGGTGAATTAGAGAAATATTATTTCTTGAAATATTCTGTGGAAAATTTAAGTCCAATTTATACATAAAAGTAGGACAGGTGAATAACAAGACTCAAACTGATATCCAACCTAATTTACACCAGCCTTTTTCTCCGGCCTGGTCCACCAAAGGTGGATCAACATTGGCGGATGCATACAAACCTTGGGCCTAAAATCCATGATGTTGTTGTTTTTGGTCAGACCAATCATTTGAGGTTGTTAGCATTACTTCAGTTAGATGAAATAGGTCCACTTTTGGGAAGAACAAGAGAAACTGAGTGCGTCACAATCTAACACTCTTGTCTGCACTCATGTAGCATCTGAAGGTAGAATTCACCAAACGAGCCATCAGATTACATGGTAGTCAAGCATTTAAGTTTTGTTATGATCAAGTCTTTCTTAGTTTCCTTTGCGAGTGCGATTTACTGTAAAATGGTAGATTCATATGGTAAATATTCTGTAGAGTCTGAGGTCTGTCCATAGATGTTTCAACTGGGGATTTCTGAACTTAGGATGGTCAACTTAGTTCTTTGGTATACATATTTTTAATTCATAGAATGTTTCAGCAAAGCAGAAATAATTTAATTTATCTGGCAAAATGACAGGTATTTCTTTTGTATTTAAGTACTACATATGTAATCAGATTTGGTCATGTTCAACCGACCTGATTCATATTTAGCTCTTTTCTATTTTTTTCATATATAGTATGTCAAAGCATTACAATGCAAAAAGTCGGTGTATTTGAGCCTTGTTGCTGGTATTTGGTTCATGAAAGTATATGCTGTTAGAGGCATGCTCAACTACCAAGTACATGAACGAATTTTCTTGTTTATTTTAATTCTTTTTAAAAGAAGAAAAATCAGAGGACAATGTGGATTTCACTTTATTTGGCGCCTCCGATTTTGAGGAGGCAGGTTTAGTCTAAGGGCCTGCTATGTCCAGTTGAACTTCTGAAGTGTACTTAGTGTTTCAACAGTACGTTTCTATCGTCATTGCGTTGATACGAATTATTTTATCCCTTGATGAGTTGGATAAGGCATACCGAAATACATTTGACATTTTTCTCTGAGAATTCTCTAATTCATTTATTCCATTTTTATCCATTAAGCTCAGACCTGATCAGGAAGAAGAACAAGTCTATGAAGTCTTATTTAATATGCAATATAACAGTTTGTTTCCTTCATAATGTAGGGTCATGAACATGGGAAGCATGATCAAAGATATAAGCGTGAGGCAATATAGTTGAATTTGCAGGTCAAAACCACTATTAGATGCATGTTCTGTATAAACTGTAGCTCCTTCAAGATTATGTGAATGGTCAATTTATATTACTTCTTCTCATTTAAGATTGTATAGTAATGTGATGAAATCACATACTTGGCTTTTTTTTTTTCCTGTAATGGCCAGTGAAATCACTATACTCTGGGCTGTTTGACCTCAATAATAAGATTAAGCTCCTTCATTGTGATTGTTTGGAATTTATCGATCCTGAGGTTAATATTTCGTTAATCTTTTGTTTTTGACTTTCGGAGAGAGATGGAAAGAAGATTAAGGCTGAAATTCATGAAAGAGATATAAGATTTCGAAATATCCAGTAGTCAACTGTTTACTTGGAAAGTTTGTTGACCTCTTCCTCTGCTAAATTCAACCACTATAAAGAATATTTTTTCCCCCTGTCAAGTTTTTTCTGCTTAATGATTAGTGCACGTCTTTTACACACACACACACACACACACACACACACACACACAAATATATATATATATATACATAAAAATGTAATGGCACTAAGCTGTTTTACATTTTCTGCACCTGATCATCATGTGGCCGTGAATATTTTGCGATAGAACTCATCTCTTTAAGTGCTTATGAGTAATGAGAATTGCTATTGTAATGTTTCTGAAATGACATGCTGCTTTTTATTTGGAAATTTACCAGGGACGTTAGTTTGATGGATTTTATTAAACCTGTTTTCTCTCTTTCCTTTTTTTTTTTTTTTTGGTACGTAATGAGTCTGTTAAAGAAGAAGCAGAAAGAGAAAGACAACCACAGAAGAAGGAAAAAAGAATCAAACAGAATTAGAAACGAAAGCTGCATAAACAAACAAGAAAGTCTAGTCGGAGTCCATTAGGATCATAGTCCAACAAACCCACCATAACATATCGATTACATGGAGACTGGAATTGATTGGAATTAAGAATGCATGCTTTTCATAACTAGTGCTTAAAGTTTATTTGACGTTGGTTGACATTGTACAACTAAAGAATTTATATATATATATATATGTATGTATATGTTAACATATGGTTGATCGTTGAGGCATTCCAATTTAAGGAGTTTACCAGAAGAAATCTAGTGCTCAACTGCAAAAGTTCAGATACAGCTACAAGATTATGTTTCATAACAAGTTGAATTATCAACTGTCAAAACTCAAAAACAATGAATACGTAGTCATCAGATACGTATTTTGACGAAAACCCAACTAAATTATACACTCGCTGGATGAGTTAGAAAACTACAAGTGTCCTTTTATTGTAGGTATTGCCATTTTATTTTTGTGAACGTTAAATCACATCAAAATCAAACTGTATTTGTAAGGATTTAACGGGGATCTAACCATTTAAAACTCTTTTTTTATTTTTTGGTATCCTGCCGAAACATAGAACTTTGAGAAGTAATTGGAAACGCCATGATCATGTGTCAAATGTGGAAGGCAAAATTGAATTAGTTGAGAATTTGATCCCCACGTTAATGACGTGGACCACCAACGTTTGCCATTGTGGTGTTTCTGTGCATGAATTTTGTGAAAACTTTCAGAGCTTTTGATGGCCATGTGGACAATGCCGACCCTTTTTTTTTTTTTTGGTATGCAAGCCTCAAAAAGAGGAGACTTCATCAGAGAGAGAAAAAAAAGTATACGTAAGCAGAAATCCCATGCATGCCAGAAGAGGAAAGAGAATCAAACAAAATAACAAACGAAAGCCACAGAAAGAAACAAAGAGAGAAACAGATTAATTGGAATATGTATTGATCATAGCCCCATCAGCTCTACCGGAACATGATTAGATCATCAAACACAGGCTTGAGTTGATAATTATATGATTAATAACGCCTCTTCAGATTATAATGCATATGGATTTCTTGGGACATTAGTACAAATTGTACCAAGAATCAAGTACCTAGTAACAATATGTCAATTGGGCATTACAATTTAAGAATTTTACCACAAGAAATAATGAATTGTCAAACAAATTAGAAAACGAACAGTGCTTATAACCAGGTGATAATTTTGTTGAAGCCCGAGTGACATAACAAAAGACTATATACATATACATTTATACACACATATCCGGCTGTTGTTAAAACTAACAATTGAGTCCTTAATTGGTTTGCGTCAGCATCTATAGTTGTATCTTTTCAACGATGTTACGCAAGCCATCAATTATAAAAACAAAAGAAAATATTGGTCCAAACGAAACGTTATTAACCAAAAAAAAAAGAAAAAAAGAAAAAAAAAAGTATTTGATTATTGTCATGGTGCAAGGTGAGTTGAGAATTTGATCCCCACTTGAACCCACCATCTTTTAGAAGGGACCGGCCGAGCCAGAACATGGGTCCTTCAGATTAACCCTTGAAATTATGAGAACCACAGATTTAGAATCCAATAATTCTTTTTTTGATATTCAATACCTAAGTGTTGGTGGACCAGAATGCTAAGACAATCATTTTGGCTTTAGGGGTAATATAACTTATAAAGCTATATAGCTAAGAAAAATCTCATAATAACACGACAACGACCCTTTTGTTTCCCGCTCATAAAAATCCTAACGTAATCAAGTAATACTTATTCTGAACTCTTATGAAATGCTTAAAAAAAAAAAAAAAAAAAAAAAAAAAAAAAAAAAAAAAAAACTAATAAGAAATAGTGAGGTGACAAATGAGAGAAAAGCACGCGCATGCACTATTTTTTTTTTTTTTTTTCCCCCAATTCTTCCATACCTAAAAAAACAAACCGATTTTTGATGATTTTAAATTAAGTGTTCATTTATGAGACGTCACACCTTATTTTGGTCTGCAAAAATATATTATAGAAAATGGGGAGACACACGAGTAGCGACTTCCCTTTAGGAGGTAGCTTCCCCACACAACGAAAGGTTAAACTTTAGTAGCCTTCTTAGCGTCATCGACCACACACTGAAGAACGTGTCGTAGCTTCACCCCTTTTCATTAACACCAAGGCGTCTTCAAGCTGCTCCAAATATAAATATGAGACAGCGACATTGATCAAGTAGCTAGCTAAACTATAGAGAGAGAGAGAGAGAGAGAGAGAGAAGAATTAAACTCATGTAATTATAGCATTAATCAGAGAGATCTAGAGAGACTATATTCATGTTAAGTTTTGTGTGGTTGGCACTTGGACATATATAATTAGACCATATAATTATCTACGTACATATAACATATATATATATATAGACGAAAATTTAGTTTTGTGTTTTTTTTTTTGGAAGAAAGTGAGAGAAGACGGTGATGATGTCGGTGAAGCCAAAAGTTTGGGAGGTGGTGCCATTTTTGGCGATGGTGACAATGGAGGGTAGCACCATAGCTTTAACCATTTGGGCAAAGACGGTTCTGACCAATGGGATGAGCCCTTTTGTTTTTGTTGTTTACACCCATGCCCTTTCTTCTCTCATTCTCTTTCCCTTCTCCATCTTTTTCCACCGCAACGACAGGTATAGTTTACCATGATTCTTTCTCTACTTCTCGTATTCTACTGGGGCTGTCGTTTGTGGAGCTATATATGCATGGATTCTGATTTATTTTTATCTTCGTTTTTCAATCTTGGTTTGCAGAACGGAGCAGCCAATCTTTACCGTTAGTCTGTTTCTGCGATTCTTCCTCTTGGGTTTAACAGGGTGCGTATACACAAACCTAGCTATAATATACTCGCGTGATTATTAAGTACGTATATATACGTATTCACACAATAAAAGGGAGAGAGAACTAATTCATTACATTTACAACTAGCTAGCTCACGTTCTTCTTCTTTTTTTCCTTTTTTTTTTTTTTTCTTCAGTACCCAAGCTGATGATCACCAGATTAAAACGGTGAATTCATTAAGTACTTATATTTTTTTGCTGGAGTAATATAGGACAAATTAAGCTTATAATTAGTGCACAGTTATAAGGGATCCACATATATAGTACTTGTCAAGAGAGATCATATATATATATATATGTGTATATATATATATATGAATTGATAAAGTTGAAAGGAGTGCTACTATATATGTAAATAATATATATATTTATATATATACACACATACATACTACGTACCACACCATCTATAGAAGTACACATCTCACTCCACTCTTCATCTCAAACATCCGTTACTTTCGTATTTTCTTGGAGTAAGAAGTGAGGAGAAGTTGTTTGGATTCTGAGAATATTGAACGTTTCAGAATATTCTGATACCGAGTAAAGGTGATCAACTACATAGCCTTGGCCCGCCTACGGTTGTATTGTTAGACTACATGACCACTCAGTTAATTTTGTTAGTTTACTAATCCATCCAAAAAGTTTAAGCTGTTAGGAGGTGAGCCAACAATAATTTTTATATTTAAACACTGTTAGGAGGTGAGCCAACAATAATTTTTATATTTAAACACTCCCCCTCACGTATGGACTAGATAATGAGCAATCGTGTGGGTAAATTAATTAAAAAACCCAACACGTAAATATTTAAACCCAAGATATATTAAAGACCCAACGCATGCATGATGACAATTTAAATAGGGATAAAGAGCACATTTATGAGGGTTTAAACTCAGGACATCTCGTTCTAATACCATATTAATTTACCGATTCATCCTAAAAACTTAAACTGTGAGGTAGGCCAACAATAATTTTTATTAACAGATTTTTTTATCATTCTATGGTTTGTGGGCCAGCCCTCCCGTCTACAATAACACTGTTTAAAACTCAATTCTCAATGGGCTAAATTATGCCTACATGCTCATTAATTAATTATGTCATTAATCCATAATGTTCACACGTAAATTAATCGAGATGATTATATTTTGTGGTTTGTTTGTTTCTTTCTTATTTTCTTTTGGGTGTCGTAAATAAGATGGCCGTTTGACTCAATCCACGCATTAAAATAAAATCATGGCGTATATGTTTTGTAATTTTGTAGGATAACTATACCACAGAACCTCGCGTTTTTGGGGCTCTCTCACAGCTCTCCTATTGTCGTTTGTGCCATGGGCCTCACGCTCCCAGCTTTCTCCTTCATCCTCTCTCTAGTCCTCAGGTTTTACTTTTTTGCACTTTCTTCTCTCTATCTTTTACATTCCTCGAAGAAAGTATTAAGTGTGTATATATATATATATATACACAGTAAGGGATTCTACGGTGGGGCTCCACTGATATATAGGAGCACTAATCTCAAACATACTTTTATATCAGATGGATACTCATAGAAAAAAATAGATGTAACGGTGTTGTTTAAAATATCTTTTAAAATGTTATAAATCTCAAATAATGCGTACCATCTGATTAAATGGTTATAACCCTGTAAGATGATTCCACTATAGAATTACTCACAATAAAACCAATCGGAATTAGTAAGAAATAATTGGTTATTGGATTCAAATTATTAAGCCACTATTATGTACACGCTTAACGTTTTTGCAGGAAGACAGAGATAGATTGGAGAAGCTCAAGCTTCCAAACAAAAGTAACGGGTGCAATAGTATGTTTCATGGGAGCAACAACGGTGGAACTCTTCAAGGGTCCACTAATAAAACACTCTTCTTCTTTGCACGTACCTCTTCTCTCCACCAACAGATTTTTGATATTCTCGTCAACCCCTGAATATTGGATTCTTGGTGGCCTTTTATTGGCAGCTGCTAACGTATCCGTCTCAGTATGGAATGTTCTCCAGGTACAAATACATGATTTTTGCCCAACTGGACCATTTATTTTTTCTTTAGTAATTAATTGTGGACATTTGGTTCGTGAATTCAGAATTATGATTCAAAATTATTTTCAGTTTACGTGTATTTTTTGTGAGAGAAAACACTATAGAGAACTACAAATTATAATTCAAACCATAACACGAATCCTCGTATCAAACACTCAAGCATGTTTATTGCAGAGTGTTATGTATATAATGAAAAATGATCATTTGGTTTTTATTTATATGGTCAGATGGAGACAGTAAAACAATATCCACAACCGATGAAAGCGGCCGCCTTTTACAGTGCACTTGGGACAATCCAATCTGCGATTCTGTCTTTCTTCGTACTGGAAAGAAAGCCGGATGCTTGGGAAGTGGATGTTAATAACACGGAAATTCCTCTCATTGTCTTAACAGTAAGAAAACTAAGACTTAATAAGGACATTAATGATCACTACCATAATTCCTTTTAATTTTATCACTCGGTTTGGCCCACATCACGGTCTCGTTCATTTCACTGATTTAAATTTACAATTTGAGTTTTACTACAGTAAAAAACTCTCAGTTACAGTCACATCTAACTTTTTTATTACATTAAAAGGCTCTCATATAAAATCACATCTCAATTCGAATTAAAAACTCAAATCAACGAACTAAACAGATCTCGCGTGTCTATTTTTGTACTCCTCTAAAAATATTATGTCACATTAATTAAAAATATTCTAATTATAACACGATATTTTGATTGATACAACATGTTCAATAAGAATGGGAACAATGGAACACAGAGTCGAATTACAAGTAGTTAATTTGTACTGACAAATTAATCATTATACACATGTCTAAGTATAATAAGTGAATGACGTATTTTATTTTTGTAGGCAACTTTCGTGGGTCTAATTCGAAGTTGCGTCCACCTATGGTGCATGCGCATGAAAGGCCCGTTTTATGTGCCCATGTTCAAGCCATTCGGGCTTCTTTTTGCCACCACTTTTGGTGTTAGCCTCCCTGCAAGCACTCTTCGTTATGGAAGGTATTATTATATCTGTGTGTATTTTCTGGTGATTAAGAAACCAATATTAATACTCTAGAAAAATATGGCATATATGGTCAAAATAATTAAAAAGTTAAGTTTGATAGTGCTAAATATTCAGGCCCCATTCATTTTACTGATTCGAGTTTTACTACAGTAAAAAACTCTCACAACCAGTCACATCTAATTTTTTTGTTACAATAAAAAAACTCTCACATAAAATCACATCTTAATTCGAATTAAAAACTTACATCAGCGAACTAAACGGATTCTAACTTTTTTTTTTTTTTTGCGGTGCAGTGTAATTGGAACAGCTATAGTTGCAATGGGGTATCTTACTATGATGTACGGCCAACAAAATGAAGATGAAGCGAGTACGAAACATGGTACGGTTGATAAATTAGGTGAGACTCCCGAGGAGAAGGTCCCTCTTTTGCAAGAAGAAAATGTGTAGATCAATCCCACGATTGAGCACAGCAAAACAAGCTTTGGTAAGAAATTAGAAATTGCTCCTGATCATGCATGTACATAAGCATTTTCTCTTGGGAAGTTTGGTCTCGTTTTCGTTTTGGATGCTTTTTTGTACGCTTGAATGAAAAAAGATAAAGCCGATTTTTGTGGCTTTTTCTTTGTGAACTTTTGTAAGATATTGTTTCCGTTTTTTTTCTCTTTTTTTTGTTTTTTTTGTTTTTGTTTTATTAAGAAGAAAGCAGTGTACCAATCAATTTAAGTAAACATTTGATTCATGGATTTAGAATAATAATTTAAAATTATTTTTGATTTACGTGTGTTTTTTATGAGAGAAAATACTGTACCAAACCATAAATTATGATTCAAATCAGGATACGAATCCATCAACTAAATAACCCAACGGTTAAAAGCTTATTTACAAAAAAAAACAAAACAAAAAAAAAAACAATTAGTACGGCAACCCAACTTGCACTTTTAAATACGGATCACCAATTTTTTGTGGTGTTGATTTAAAATACTAATGTTTTTATGCCCCGATGCAATAAGAGAGAGAGAGAGAGGAAAACGACATCAAAATCAAAAACTACACCAAAGGACATGAACTCCAAAAGCAATATCTATGCAGAGACGATAAGAGTTGTATGAAACGACAGCAAATTGTAAATGGCATTAATCCAAGAGAAATGAACTCCCAGAAACGACATTAATCCATAGGCAAAAAACTAAGAAAAATGGCATGAACCTCAAAAAGCACATAAACCCAACATGATACAAGTTCTTTAAAACGACATCAACATCAAAAGCGACAATATCCCAAACGAAATGAATTTCATAAAACAACATTAACTAAAAACGACATGAGATATCTCAAAATCGACATTGACGCAACCGACGCGAACTCTAACAACAACATTAGTTGAATAAAACGTCAACAATGGAATTTCAGAGAAAGAACAACAATTGAAAAACGACAATAACGCAACAACAAGAATTTCATAAACGGTATAAACTAAAAACGACAAAAAAAAATAAGAAAAACATAATTACGCAAACAACATGAATATTACGTGGTAAACCGTAAACCCAAAACAATATGAGTTGTATAAACTTGAACATTGGAAACGGCTACAACCTCAAAACCGGCAATAACCTAAACTAACGACATGAACTCGAAATGACCACAATAAGAAAATTGACATAAAAAACGACAGCAATACAAAAAGAAAAAAGAACAGATACAGAAAAATGACAATAATAATACGAAAGAATAATGAACTAGAAAAATTCTTTGGATGTAATTTCATACTCTAGGAAAGAACAATCATACAAATTAGTTGGGAAAGTTGTTGTAATTCTTTGTATATATACACATATGGTTGGGTGTATATAAAAGGCATGGATAGAAAATTATCACATGACAAAGGATCAAGATGTACGATACTATGATAATATGGGCATGTTTAGAACTCGTTTCAAAATAATTTTATTTTTTTGTATGAAAATAAAAATGAAAACGTTTTTAATTTCAGACATAAATCATTTTTAAAAATGCGTTTAGTAATTTTATCAAGAGATTGTTTTCAGTATAAAAAAATGCATTATTATCTCTCTCTCTTACTCTCTGCTTGAGAGAAGAGAAAACGAAAATAAAAAATAAAAAATGAATAAAAGTCATTTTTCATTTTTTTCTCATTTTACACTAAACTAAAAAATCGTTTTCATTTTCATTTTTTATATTTATTACACCAAACGCTATTTTAAAAACATTTTCATTTTTTCTTTTGTAAAAACGTGAAAAATAAAAACAAAATCAATTCAAAACACCACCTATATATCTCTTTTGGCCCACAAGTAAGTATCAATTACTATGTGCGTGCAGATTTTTATTGCGAAATTAAGTAATGTACATGTGGCTATATATCAGCAAGCACAATAAATTAATGAAATAGTAGTAATAACTCCAACTTGGGATATGGTTGAGAGTTAAAGACGGTAATATGGTTGGATGATTGGGGGCCTAGTTAACCAAATTCCTCGTCTAATCCTATTATACTCTCTCCAAAACTGATAGTAAACGGTACAATACTTGTCAAGACAATCTTGTCATATATGCGAGTGAATTATACGAGTATCACATATATATATATATATATTAATATCTAATATTTATCGATTGTAGCTATCGTTGTTTTAGTTGTATGATTAATTAAACATATATTATATATTTCCTTTTGTTTTAGTGGATGTGTTGATTTATTGTACCAAATAAAAATGCTGGTATATATTTCCCCTATATCCACCCTATTTTATAAGCTTTTCATCTAAAATTACACCAAAATGAAAAATATGCCAAAAAAAATTATAATAGTTCAAAACTGTACCACAAGGACAACTGGATATTTTTTCATACTCTACCGAAAGAATCTCATAATTTATAATCAAAATTGTGGTTTTCCTTACAGGTTGTAGCTTCATTCCTATGAGACAACGGTATTTTAATCTCTTACCTAGAACACATTATAGTACAAATTACTTGGTACTGATTTGCTGAGAAATCTGTATATATAAAGCACATACGTTTATTGAGAGTTCAAAAAAAAAAAAAAAAAAAAGAAGCAACGTGTATGTCTTAGTCTTGGCTAGTTTTGTGGTGTTATAAATAAGTGGGATGTAGGGCTGGCAATCCGGGTAGCGACACGATTTGAAATCTGCACGAAATTAGCGGGTTTGGGTTTATCATAAATAGGTACGGGTCAAAATCAGGTTGAACCCGTGAAACACGATTAAATAACGTGTCATTTTCAGGTTGACCCGCCATAACCCGTTTAAACGTGTTATATTTAAGTAACACGAATACACAACCCGTTTATTACCCATTTTATAAACACGTTAAAAAATAGGTTCAGAAATAGGTTAACATAACCCATTTATCACATATTTTATAAACAGGTTCATTAATAGGTTAACACTGCCCATTTATCACACATTTTATAAACGGGTTTACGGGTAATTAACGGGTTGACACGACACGTTTATGACCTGTTTAATAAACGAATTATTCGTGTCATATCGTGTTAACCTGCCAATATACAGGTCGTATTTGGGTTTTGTATTTCGACACGATTAATAAACAGGTCATGTAAGAGTCAACACGACACGAACACGACCCGCCAACCCGAATTGCCACCCCAGGGGATGGTCTATAGTTGTTAGAGTTCTTGAATGCTTTTGTCAGTTTTTCTATTTCTGATGAGCCTCAATTCTAAGTCATCAAATTTCCTTTATATGTAACTATTTCTCTAGGCCCATCATATTGATTAGACCGCATTAATACACACCATTTGGCCTTTGGGTAGGTAAGTTCTGACTCTCGGAATTCAATTTGGCTTTTATCTCTCATTTGCATAGGCAAGTTGTAAATACTAATCGGGAAACGCTTATACTTCTAATTATCCCTTAATTAAAACTTGTTTCGAGTGACTCAAATGCGATAAGATTAACGTGCTTAGTGGAATTGGGTCGACCTAGATTAATGCGCGTGATCGAAATCTGCGTCCTCTCAAACTTAAACCCTACCTCACCGTATCACATGTCGTTTGACCTAGTGGTGTTGACTTAGAATAATAAATAAGAGAATTATAAAATCAAACTGACGGGTGCTTTTTTATTTAAGATGTTAAACACAGTAACACATCAAACTCACACTGAAATTTAAAGAACACAGCAGGTGAAACTTATATAGGGCTATAACTTTATTCAATGAGCCACACTTAGGGATAACAAAACTAACCCATGTATAGGGCATTAATATAGTCCCTTTTAACATTAATTTGACTTAATTAATCACGCCTCCTTGGCAAGGTAATCATCGAGCTCCTTGAAGTTCTTTTCAGCAAACTCCTTGATGAGGCTTGGATCAGGGATCTCTTCACTGGCCTTCTCATACTCACAGCTCCACTTCACCAAGCTTCCTTCTTCCTTGGGAACCACGGTAACGTGAGCCTTAAAACTTTTGTAGTACTTAAGGAGATCTCCATCAATGATATTGTAAGAAAATGTCTTGTTTTGTGGGTCCACAACTTCGATCTTCTCTTTCGATACTTTAACAATCGGAGAACCTATTAAAAAAAAAAAAATAAACAAATGCATAAAAATGAGCATATTTTTATGACACACGATACGTATACATTTTTTTTTAAAATAAAGAATTACCGCCAAACTACGCATGTAAAAAAATGTATACCTTCCCCGTATGTTATCAATCGAACAGAACCAACGACAATCCCGTCGCCTTCCAAGACTTCGACACTTTTGTAGTCATTAGGGAAGGCCTTAGGGAAAATAAAGATGAAGTCCCTAAGGGCTTCCCAAACCTTGTCAGCATTAGACTTCACTTCAACCTCCACATTAAGCTTTCCACTGCAAGCTGGATTTGCCATTGACGTATGAAAAAAAATAAGGAGCAAAAACAAGAAATAATTAGCTAGTTTGATTATATGTATATTCCACTTGAGAGCTTAGCTAGGCCTAAGCGTGCATATATATAGTGGTGGTAGAGCTTTGGTTATCTCGCAAGGGCTTTAAATTGATTGGATATAGGTTCAACTACCACTTTACTAGACCTTGCGAAAAACGACACGAAAATTGGTAGCGTCACGGGCTAACAGATGAGACTAAGGGCCCTGGCACTTAAATCCTCTGACGGTGCTTTAATACATTGGTGGTTCAAGAATTTATGGACATGTTCCATAATAGGCATCTTGGTAGCATCGAAAGAGATCAAAATAGTACTAAACTATGTGGTTGTGGCTCCTTGGTTATAATTTTATTACTTAACAAGTTGTTTTAATCACAAGGGAACCATTTTTGTACTTTTGATATTTGTTTTCTATTTGGTATGTCGTAATCTCATAGTTAGTTGAATTTGTTGGTTTAGGGCTGCTCTATTATTTGTGGAGAGAGGTTCTGTTTATTAGATATTGCTGTATTTTCAACAACTCAGTTGTTGAGTTCCAACTTGCAACCATTTTATCTTCTTATTAAAATGGTGCGAAGTTTCTAGAATTTGATCTTTAGTACTCCTTGAAATTTATTTCAATGCAGCTCCTTTATCAGAAAATTCTTAAAAATAAGGCCCTCGAATTAAGTTTTTTTTTTTCTCCCATTTTGGCCCAAACTTAAAAAGTTGCAAATTGCAACCTGCCCCCATATTGGTCTCTAACTCTAGACTCGGTCATGGACTCCTACACCATGACAATGGCCCCATTCCCAAAACTCCACCCGAATAACGGTCTCCGTCCCAAAACCCGACCCTGAACACAATCTCGAAAACAGACCACAGCCAAGGTCCCGGTTTCAAAACCCAATCCAAGCTCGGTTCCCGACCCTTGTCCCGTACCTAGACCCCTATCCTGACCTCGACCTTGACCCCAACCTTGGGACTTTGATATATTTTAAATATTATGTAGGTTTGTTGATGCAATCTTTTTTTTTTTAATGGGAGCTAATGCGGTCTTTTATGTTAAATTATTCAACATGATCTAATGCATGATTTTTTTTTTTTTGTCATATTAGATATCATAATACATATTGTATTAATTTTAAATTTTAATTAAAATTATACAATGTATGAATATTGATAAATACTATATTATTTTAAAATAATACAATATAGAGTGAGTGCTAATATGGCATACAAAACATGATCTAAAAAGTCCTTAATCTTGCAACTGGCGTGTCATGGGCTGCGGGAACATTTATAGGCTTTTTCGCTTGGTATAAAAACAGGTGCTTTCTATGAGAAAGATCGACTTTGAATATCAGCATACGTACAAATGGGCCACAAACCCAAGGCCTGTTGAAAGAGAAAATTATTAAAGTTACCCACTCCGAATTTTTAATTTTTATTCTGGATTAATATATTTTTAATTAATATAGTTATTCTGAATTAATATATTTTTAACTAATATAGTTATTTAACTAAAAATAATATTAATTAACTGTGTAAAAGGTATTTATTTTCTTTCTCTTGTAAAAAATTTAAAAGTGTTTAGCAAAAGAATAATTCATGATCCTGTAAAGTAGAAAAATGGGCCCAATTCTTTTTTCTTTTTTTTTTCTCTTAACGCTTATTTTTTCTGTCTCATTTGAACGCATAGGAGGGAACTTCGTTACCGGTCTTCATAACAGAAGTGGATGAACCTCAATACATATTACGCTTTTTTACTTTAAATTGAATTATATATATTTATGGACTAGTTTTTACGGAAATAGTAGAAAATAAGTCAATATTAAAAGCTTAAAAAAGTATATAGGCCAATTTTTAATTATAAAAATTAATAGATCATAACTTGTTAAATTATGGTTCATAACCAGATAAGTTATTGACAAACTTGTCAAGTTATGGTTCATAGCTAGACAAGTTATGGACAAAAACCGTGAATTATGGACAATAACTTATCAAGTTATGGTTCATAACCATACAAGTTATTGACAAAAATAGTAATTTGGCATATTTATTAACTTATGTAAACTATTGGCCTATTAATTTTAATTCATTTCAAGTCTTAACCTATTTCTCTCTTTCTCCCTAGTTTTTAATGGTTATATATGCACAGAAAATAGGTATAAACAGTCCTTGGTATTTATGCACCAACATATTTTAAGTCTCATAGCAACCTTTAATCCTACTCTCTTCTTTGAACAACCACAAGGAACTTTACACATTCACTTTGGGAAAAGTTTTAATTTATTGTGCACCAGGCACTAGTTTTGATTTAGAAATGCTTATGTAGCACTTCTATAAGTTATTCTTCTAAAAAAGATTGCTTGAAAATAGAAAATTGGTATCCTCCGGACCAATGAAACAAAAAGCCATGGGTCCATTATGGATGGTGATGAAATTATTGACCATCTTATTAACTTGTCATTTTCAGACAAATGACAAATAATAATTGCTTTTATCTTATAGAGAGAAGGATGGAAAGAAGAATATTAATACATAAGACATGAAACAATAAAATAAATAAATCAAATAAACAGGTGAAAACTCCCCCTCAACGGCTACCTTTCCTTCCTACGAAAATTTGTAAAAATGTAAAGAAAACTTAAGAGACGGCAAGTGAGGCTACAGCTTCTATTTCCTTATCAAAGCAATACCAACTTTCCTTCTCTTGCGTTTTCTTTTTCTTCAAGCACATCTTACACACACTCTCTCTCTCTCTCTCTCTCTAGATCTCTCTCTCTCTCTTTCTCTCTCTCTCTTTAATGCTCAGGTTGTTGAAGCTTAAGTTGTTGAGTATATGATATATCCTCCTAATCCACCTTCACTTGTTCTATACATACCCTTTGAGAGAATATTATCTATTGTGACTAATTTTCTCTTATACAATCCAATCTCGCATCTTATACTAGTTTAACAATCTTTTTCTTGATTCTTTTTTTCACTTGAGCTGGACCTTTGAACTCGAACGTGAAATTAAGGATAGAACGGATTTCTCAGTCGCTTTGCGAATCGTTGTCTGATCAGGTGTCATGGAACTAACTCTCTCCATCCAATTGTCTGTTTTCACGTGACATAATTTGTCATTTCTTTTCATAAAACGGAGAAAGTAAAGAACCATTGAAGGAAGGTCATAATGCCTTTCGGTTTGATCTCTGCTTGGAACAAGCGCCGGAGAAGCAAGTCCCACGATCACTCCGACCCTTGTATCTTCTTCTTCTTCTTCTTCTTCTTCTTCTTCTTCTTCTTCTTCTTCTTCTTCTTCTTCTTCTTCTTTGCTACTAGGAGAATTATAGTAACTAGTTATATAGGATTGTTTCTTGCTACATAACCAACTTTTTAACATCTTATCTACTCGTTTTTCAGGGGTTTATAAGCCTGCGGAGTATTGGCAGCTTGAAGATCAAACACCAAGACCAACGAAACGACGCCATGGATCATCAGTTTTCACGTTCAGGGAAATGGAAGAGGCAACACGTTCATTCAGCGACGAGAATTTTCTGGGAAAAGGAGGTTTTGGCCGAGTATACCGAGGCATTTTGCGATCAGGAGAGGCAAGCCAGGTGAAACAAAATTTCCAAAACGTACAATATAATTTTCATAAGCTTTGGTCGTCGTAGTTCTGCAAATTGTCCAACTTTCTCAATGAAGGAAACTAAAGACAAAATCATAGATAGTTTCTAATCAACTTCGAAGTTTCGAGACACGTACTGATTCGTTACCGTTTTGAGAATGAAAGATTGTAGCTATCAAGAAAATGGAGCTGCCGGCATTTAAAGAAGCCGAGGGAGAAAGGGAATTCCGTGTAGAAGTTGATATATTGAGCAGACTTGATCACCCAAATCTGGTTTCCTTGATAGGCTACTGTGCTGATGGGAAGGATCGGTTTCTTGTATATGAATATATGAAAAATGGGAATTTGCAAGATTGTTTAAATGGTTAGTTTTTTTTTTTTTTTTTTACTCAAATTAGCAACTCTCGTTACTTGATTTTCATATAATCTGGTAACTATATTTTCTGCTATTAAAGGAATTGGAGAAGCAAAAATGGATTGGCCTCTGAGACTCAAAGTGGCACTTGGAGCTGCAAAGGGACTTGCTTATCTCCATTCAGGTTCTGATGTTGGCATACCAATTGTACATAGAGATTTCAAATCCACCAACATTCTCTTGGATACTAACTTTGAAGCAAAGGTAATATGGGGTTGGTTTGTTTTATTTATTTATTTTTTTTTTTTTTGTCTCTTTTCAAATTATTGTGGGACATAACTTGAAAAGAGGGTTAACGGTCAAATATTTTCTTATAGATATCTGATTTTGGGCTTGCCAAGTTAATGCCTGAGGGTCAAGAGACCTATGTGACTGCTAGGGTGCTTGGTACATTTGGGTATTTTGATCCAGAGTACACATCGGTAGGCATTTACCAAAACGCGTTACCTTTCTTTTCATTCTTTTCTTCTTTCAATAAAACACACAGAAGCAAAGAACACACAACACCCACGAGACCACGAGGGCCTTCATGAGGAGGGCGGATTTCCTTTTCATTGCCGTCGATCATGTTTGATCACTTGTTTGATCAACAAAAATCTCTCCTTTGAACTATGATTTTTTTTTTTTTTTTGTCCCTTCAAACCACATTTTTAGCCATATCATGTGGTCCCAGACTGCTGGTTTTGTCTTCAAAGAAAATGGATTCTTTATAAAAAGCACATCTACTAAATACCCTTCACTCTTTCAATCTCAACCACTCTCATCAACATGTATTCAAGAACAATATGAAAAACACTACTGAATTATAGACCTAGAGTTTCAGTGTCTAATGTGATTATAGACTTTTCAACAATCATACGATTTTGACTTTCTTTTTCTCTTTTAATTTGCTTTGTCACAGACAGGGAAGCTCACTTTACAAAGTGATGTTTATGCGTTCGGAGTGGTTCTTCTGGAACTTTTGACCGGACGTCGAGCTGTGGATATGAGCCAGGGACCTTATGATCAAAACCTTGTACTACAGGTTAGAAAAAGTCTGCTTATTTTTACTAGGGCCCGTTTAGTTTGCTAATTTTAGTTTTTAATTCGAGTTGAGATGTGACTTTATGTGAGATTTTTTTACTGTAGCAAAAAGTTAAATGTGACTGTTTCTTAAAACTTTTTACTGTAACAAACTTGAATTCTAAACTCGAATCGGTGAAATGAACGGGGGCCTATAAAATTCATCTATCAAGTTTCCAGTAAGTTTAACCACAAAATATAATCTAAGAGTTGTAGTGCTCCTTCACTGCATTACAGGTAAGGCACATATTAAACGATAGGAAGAAGCTCCGAAAGGTGTTGGATCCAGAGCTGGGTCGAAGCACATACATCATGGAGTCGATAGCCATGTTTGCGAACCTTGCATCGCGATGCGTGAGAACCGAGAGCAGTGAGAGACCCTCAGTGGAAGAATGTGTGAAAGAACTCCAACTGATTATCTATACAAGTTCGAAAGGCTTGGGTGGGCGTACTCGTACTTTTAGAAAGGTCTAAGAAAGTAAAACATTTCTAACTGCTCGGTAAAACTGTGTATATCACAATAAACATGCTCCATCCTTCCTCCAATAATGGTTTCTTTTTGGAAGCTTGTGTCAATTATATTAAGACTATGATCCAAAGAATTTGGTGAGGATCATAGGCAAAGAATTTGAATGATATTCATCTCAAACAAAACATCAAGAATACCAGGTGACTTTTTCCTGTACACTACTCAAGAACCTAGAAATTAAGACAATGATGGGCAAGGACATAAAGTTTTGTTCTAGCACGCCAGTTTGTTGTGGAATGCTTAACTAAGTTACAACTTCTTCTATATGATATTGTTATGTACAGTTCATTTCAGAGAATAATGAAATCTTAAACTAGACAATCTGTTTGTTACAAGGCCTTCCTTGGTAACATCTATACTTTAATAATGCTTGATAATGTTGAAATATTACATTGCAAAAAATATTCAGAACAAAATTTGCACATCATTGGAGCCTTAGGAAAAGAGTCACTTTATACTAAAAACGTCAAGTCCAAACATATACAGGTATTTACATATATAAAATATGAATTTGCCCTTTGTAACTGTATAAGGAGCAAATATCACTTGCAAGGAACAAAGATAATACCTACAAAATACAACAGATCCACACAGTTATAATAGATGCGGCAACAATTTTCTGCATGTCATTTTGATATCCTTCTGAAACCAACCTGGCCTGATTCATCCCAATCTCATTGGACTATAACCTGGACCCATAAGTATGTATCTTAAAAACAAGATTAAGAAACAATATGATATGGACAAATTTGAAACACAGTTATCAAGTATGCAACTTACATGAAGACCATGGAGGAAGAACATACTGTATTGGAAATCGACAGGAAAGAAGTGTTGGGAGTAAAAGTCTTTTAGGACTGTAATAGAGTCCATTGTTAAGTCCCAAGCCTCGTAACAAGTGATAGTAACAAAGGAAGATAGATTCTTTAGTAAAAATAAAAATTTGTGTCCGTAAGTATACCTCAGAGAAACGTATAATAGTATTCGAAGAGCCTCTAATCATGTTAATTCTCCATTGGAGCTCATCGAGTCAGATTCTGCAGGGCTCTTTACAACTGGAAGCTTTTTGCACATCAAGTGCTTACGTCTCTGCAACATCAACAAAATCAAAAGGCTATCCGTTTTCACGACCTGGTAACCTGCTTTCGTATACATATTGAACGGGGCTTCATCAGTCATTCTACAGTGCAAGTACACCTCGCTTGTGGAACTCATCTGAGAAATCAGTTCCTCGGACGCCTTTAGGAGATGCCAGCCAATTCCTCTCCTGGTAACGCCAAAAAGTAAAACTCAAATTTCAAATCTCATTCAAGACATTGAAAAGAAATGTCGCGGTTCAAGTGACATGACATTTCAAGAACAAGTTAATGGTCTCATTAACCCAAGAATTGAGTATCTCCTCGACTCGATTTTACTTTCTAGATTAGAAAACTTCGACCTACAATGAGAAATAATTGTCTCTTTGGGTAGGAATAGTGCCCGGGATCAAATGCCTATTGGAGAGATCAAGGGCGCCTTTAAATTGGCATTTAGAAGAACAAGAGCTCTGCATTTTGGTATCAGAATTGGCCTAGTTCATTATCCATATGTAGGCTCATAACCCACAATTCCAACGGTCAAAACTTGGCTCCAATACCAAAATATAAACCCATAGCCTTGTAAACTTCTAGTCTAAGTTTTGGCAATAAGAACCTCACTCCTTGGTACTATTTGGTCCAAAAATTAACTGATTTAACATCATTTTGTTGAAAACGCTTCTTTTTTCCCCAATTTTATTGAATGAAGTAACACTTCTACTACAGCCAATACAATTCCTTTCTTGTTTATGATGTTAGATTACTTTATACAATTCGCTTCAACAGAGGACACAAAATCCAGCATCAAATGTTGAGTGTGAGAACCAAATTATCACCCTGAGTAGCTTAAGCTGAATTATTATCTTGTAATGTTTTTCACCAGAATGAAATTCTTCATCAGTGGATGTAGCTATCATATTGTGAATTACTATAAATCTTGCGAGTGCTTTCGCATCTTTTCTTATATATTACTGTTCTAGTTAGCGAAGGATTATGGCCATCAATCCGTAACAACATATTCCAATTACTAGAATTGGACAAGAAAATTATAAAACTTTCATCTCTAAACATAGAAATAAGCCATGATTCTACGAAGAACAATAAAACATGAAAAGTTCGAAAACGTGAAACAAAACAAACCAACCTCCGGAGCTGCTCTTTGACAGTCATGTTACATATATAAGGCGAATTCTTCGGCGGAGTCGGCGTCGGAGGAGAAGCATTCGCACCTATCTTATCGAAACAAACCTCCACAGTTCCCGCCAATTTCTCTTCTCCTTCTTCTTCTTCTTCATCACCATCACCATTTTCCTTTCTCTCTCTAAAGAACCCAACAAGCGTGACGGCGTGGGGCATCACGGCCCTTCTCTCGATCAAGTACTGCTTCACCAGGAACCTTAAAAGAGAGTTGTAAGCGGACGGCAAAAGCATGGACTCCGCGAACGACTCTGCGAGCAGAGCCACGGTGATGTCCATCTCGTCTGCCCTCATGGCCCGGACCCACAGAGACCCAGATCGCAGTTCCCGAGAATACGTGACGTCCTCGAGGAATTTGAGCTTCTCGAGCTCCTCGTTGCTCAGAAACCGGCCGGTTCTGAGTGTGTCCGACAGGTACGACAAGCTTGACGGCGATACTGTTGTTGTTGTTGAAGATGGAGATGAAGATGAAGATGAAGATGAAGACGAAGATGAAGAGGAAGATGGTTTGAAGAGATAACGGTCGGATTTGTGGAAAAGAGTAAGTGGGTATTTGGGGAATTGAGGTGGAGAAATGAAGGCTTGCTGAGGCTTGGAGAAGTGGTGGCGGTGTTGGGGATCTAAGGAGAAAGAGAGGGAGAGTGTCGCGGCAGCCATTGGAGTGAAGAAGAAGACAGTTGTGGATGTGAAGTTGGGGAGTTTGATCGATTTCAGATCATACCATTTTCATTTCCAATCGTCGTCGAAAAATACAAGCACGCAAATTTCGGATTTTTCTCAGCTTGCCCAATTCAATTCGGGAGAGACCGGGCCATGCAGTGGAAGTGCCCAAGTCTGTTGATTCATGGGCTCCGGAAATTGTTCTGGCCTGATTTGCAGGTCCATGCCCATATCCACTTGGAAGTCGTAGGAGGATGGTGTTAATCCGGCCCACTTTTGAAGTCTCAGTTATTGATCTGTTTTGCTTTGATATGAAAATTATGCTTCTATTTTTCACAAGATGTTTGAAATTCAACTTTCTACTCTCTATCTAAAAGAAAAGTACATGGTTTATCATGATTTTATACAAATTTATTATTTATATCATTCTAAACAATTAAGTATTATTATAACCTTTTAGTTTTTATTTATTAATTGAATGATGATTATTTATTTTTTAGTATAATGACATAAATAATATTTTTTTTACCACTTTAAGTGACATTTCTAGATTTTTTTTCTGTTTTTAAACGTAAAAATATGCCTAAAACCTCTTGGTCTAGTAGCACTGAGGGTTTTAGGTGGGGTAGGGTTTAGGTGGAGAGTTGCAAGTTTAATTTCGTATTGCATAAAACAAAAACAAAAAAAACAAAAAACCTCCAGAAATGCAAAAAAAATTATAAGCCCAATATTTTTGTTCCTCCTGAAGTTGCTATAGGTATAGATTTCTCATGTGATCCGATGCATTAGTGCTTATATGATGGCATCAATATTTTTTAGCTTAATTGTTATGGAAGCCTATGGTGCAATATAATATGTTGCACGTTTTTTTTTTTTGTTGTGAAAAAATGTATTGGTCCTTTTAAAAACAAAAGAATTTTTTTTTGGTGAATACGATCGAGTTCTCACAATTTTTGGTGAGTACTCCTGTTTATTATGTGTGGATTCCCAATTGTTATCTTAACTTTTTTTACCAACTTAAATGGTAATAAGTTGTCATCTTTATATTTACAAATGAAACTTTTAATACTAAATTGATGTGGCAATTAATATGATCAAACACCTATTATCTCCTCCTGTTCTTATCTTGCAAACTATCAAATCAATAAAGAGCTTGTTTAGAATTTTGATTTCAATTCAAACTATCTGTGTTGCTCTAAATCCATCTTTCATTGAATCTAAAACATAATTTGCTAATGTATAAGTGATTTAAGCACCAACTATCATGTTTTCCAACATCTAACTTTTAAGAATATTGTTGACGGTAAAAACTCATCAACAAAAATAGACTAGGTCACCACTAGGTATTCCGTTAGATTACCAGCTTAATATTGACTGTATACTCAATGTTGACGGTAAAAACTCGTCAACAGAAATAGGCCGGGTCACCACTAGGTATCCCGTTGGATTACCGGCTTAATATTGACTGTATACTCAATATTTGCAGTGAAGTGTTTGTGGTATTTTTTGTGTAGTGAGCAATATGAGAAAAAATACTTGAAGTAGAAAAGACACATAAGATTTATAGTGGTTCACTCTTATAAAATGAAGAGCTACATCCACTATAGTTTTCTATTCCTTTTGAGATTGTTACAATTTACACCATAAATCGCTCTCTCGTTCTTTTCTTTCAGGAAAGATCAACCTCCCTTCCGTATGAGGCTTCTCTCCTTTTTATAGCCGAGCTTCCTTCGTCGGGTAGGTTTTCTTTGTAGGCTGAGAAGCACTCAAGTGGTCTGCCTTTCTAGGCCCATACCGTAGCCCACTAATCACTTTTGCACACTATTCACTCAGCCAATTAGTCTCCCATTACGGCTCTGTGCGCTGTAATCCTTTTTTGTCTCCCGTAGGGCGGTTTAAGAGTTTGCATTTAATGTCTGTTCTGCAGACATCTCCCATTTCCGCACGCAACTTGCGATGTCAGGTTTTCCCCTCTTCAGGCATTCCTCTCGCCGTCTCTATCTGCTCAGCCTAGTTTTCTTTCTTGGCAATTGATTTCTTCCCGAAGGATTCCTGCCATAAGGTCGACGGTATGAACTGTCGTCGTCATGAGGAGTCGGCGTCGAAGGTTGGGCTTCCCTTGTAGCAAAAGGAAGGGGAATCCCCCCCGTCGAGGGTTGTTACCTTTTGAGGGAAAGCAGGGCCATGTGTCGCACCGTTGTTTGCCCACGCGTCATCCACATTTTCCCATACAACAAATATGAAACTTCATTTAAACCATCTTCAAAGCAAATCGCTATATTTGATATTAAAAAAATGTGAAAATGACACATTTAATTTATAAATATATATTTTTTTGCTTAAGTGTAATGATATTTAAAATAGCATATCAATTTTTCATAATGATTATTAAGTTTTTTTTAGATTATAATAATTATTAAGCTTTTTTTAAGATAATTATTAAGTTTTGAGACTTGTAATGGTTAACTTTTTGATTTTAAACTAATTAAAAAATAAATCATATTATAATGATTAAATAAAAAGTTAAATAGAGTTAATATCAAGTAAATTTCATTTACTTTGTACTAAAATTAATATCAAGTATAACGTATTTAAATTTAACAGAAAAATAACACTGACTTATAATTAGCCCTCGTTTAGTTCGCAGATTCGAATTTTCAATTTGAGTTGATATGTGATTTTATGTGAGAGCTTTTCACTATAACAGAAAAAATTAGATGAAAATTTTTATGAGAGTTTTTAACTATAACAAAATTGAAATTAAAAATTTACAGTGGTTAAATGACCGATGCTTTAGTGACCAATTTTCTTACTCAAATGTTAAAATCTATTGTCATATTCATTTTACCGATTTGAGTTTAAAATTTAAATTTTACTATAATAATTTTTTTTTTTAAATAATCACATTTATTTTTTTTATTACAATAAATTTTTTTACATAAAATCACGTTTTAACTTAAATTAAAAATTCAAATTAGATGATACTGCATGGCATTAATGATGCACTTATCGGTTTCTAAAGTGGTGAAAAAATGACGCAAGACCAATACTTATTACGCTTCCCAAAAAGAAACTGTGGTTGGAAGGTTAGTCCGTGGTCTCTTCAAGCACAAGCCAGTTAGGGAAGTAAAGTAGCCTTGGATGCTTAAAGCTGCCAAGTGCCAACTTACCACAAAGTAGAAAAAGAAGCGAGCGTTTCTGTTTTGACTTTTAGGCACATCCTCTAGGACCCATGTCCTTGCCACTCCCTACAAAACTTTTTTTTTTTTTTTTTTTTGAACTTTTTAATAAATCCCTACAAAGCTTTATCCATAAAATTGTATGCATGAAAATAGGAAAAAATTAATTTTAGACGTGGATTTTTCTTGGGTTGTTGAGAAACATTCAAAGAGAGAATAGGGAATGGTAGCATTTTTACCGAAGATCAAAAACTTGTTTGAATGCTTCTTTTAATCGCCCGTTTTCCGGTTCCATCTTTGCCATTGACTTGATCAATCCATTCTTCTCCTTCTAAGGGCTGATGTTTTGTGACATAGCAATGCAAATCAACGTACTTGAAATTTCTTTGCTTAGTTATTAAAAATATTTTAAATTCAGAGATGGAGAGAAGAACGCTAAACTAAAGTTAGAAATATTATTATTTTCTAAAAAAAAAAATAATTTTTAGGGTGAATCAAGTTATTTTACTTCACCAATAACACAAATGTTTTTACTGTTAATTTAATTTTTCAACGGTCAATATTTATCTTTACTGTTGGAGTAAAACAACTTACTCTATCTTAAAAGTTATTTTTTTAAAAAAAAATAGACGTAGTGATAATAATGGAAATCTTTACTACATAGTGAGGTAAGTATTTTTAATCATTAAATTAATTTTTTAATAATTAAATATATACAAATTTACAAAAAATTATTTTTACTGCAGATCCACGGTTAAAAAATCAATCTAACTGTAAAATACTTGTATCGTCCGTGGATAAAATAGCTAACTCCAACATAATGACTACCGATAATAACATCCTCCTGTACATCCAAACAAATTCCTCAAGAGACAAAAATTGAAGGCTGGCAAATTGCAGGAAACGAGGCATATAAATATCTTTACATAAGTATTCCGGACTCACAAAAAAAACAACAGAAAATGACAAGAAAGCTATACAAATTCTCTGTACGATTTCATATGCAAAGCATTTGTATCCTTCACTGATCAAATCTACCAAAAACCAAAACTAGTTTGGCACCATTAATCTCCTTGTCAGTAATTTCCTCACCACTTTTTTTTTTTTTTCTTTTCTACCCAAACTTCCAACACCTCTCCATTTCTCTTGAGCAGAACCCCATTATAAAATAATAATATAAATAAAAAAATAAAAAGAAAAACCAACCAATCGTTATCCTCCCTTTTCCCGTGCTCATCTTTGCAGACCAATAACAACATCCACCAACTTTACTGAGAATAACATTCAAAAAATAAACAAACCCACCGAATTCTTGACCATTGTAATCATGAAAACTTGGTCTCATTCTTCTCTTCTAAATTGACCCAGATCCCATTTTTTCATAATCTCCAAGAGAATTTCATTCCATGTGTCAATAGGCCCCGGCAAGCACCAATGAACACAATCATTTTGTACTCTCTCATTAACACCATTACCAAGTGGGAATGGGTGCATATAAGGCCCCGGGTGACCATCAGGCCTCATTAACGACAATTTAGTCACGTCCAAAGCCTCTAACCTAAAAAAACGTTCACCCTTTTCCTTAGCCAATTCAACTTCTTCAACCTCAATCTTCCTCATATCCGCATCCATTCCTTCAAGCAATTTCTCCCCTTCCTCGTAAGGCCTTGTTTTCGGGCACGCCCCGGCCTTGTCCCACTCGCCCTCGAAATGCGACGGCGAAAACGTCGTCACCACCGCATCGATCGCCTTCCGACCAGCTTCCCTCCTTTCTCTTATTGCGCTTAGCGCAGTCTTCAATGCCTTCCTCAAAACATCATAAAATCCAATCTCGGTATAATTTAGGCCCGGACAATAATGACACCCCAAAACCGAATCGTCACGCTCAAAATACACTGCAGGGTGCAAGAACCAATGACCAATGGACAACACAATCTGGTCCATCTTATCCAAATCCTTTGCCCATCTCTCATCAACTGTGTCCAAGTAAAGCTTGTTGTGATTTGGACCGTCGTTTGATTTCTCAACGCCGTGGACGAGAAAAGGAGACCAATAAATTGAGACATTCGCATTGTGGGAAGGGAAATTCCAACGACGAAATTTGTTATCTTCACCGTTTGTGTAAACGAGATTAGGAGCGGAGAGTGTGGCTAGCATGCAAAGGAGTGACTCAAGTTGGTTCCTGGCCATGGAGTCACCGACAAAAGCAACATGTTTGTTGGTAATGAGTTGGAGAAAAGTGTTGGGGTCAAACCTCGGAATTTTGCATTGGTTTGGGTGCCACCTCCAATAAAGATACTCAAAATCTGGCCTTCCATGGGCAATGCAATTCTGGCCTTCCTTGATCGTCCCACAAGTTGTCCCATTGTACAGAGGACCCTGCTTTTCATGGACCCATTTGCCGCTTGTGTAGTCACATGATGGAGGAGATTCGTATGATCTAGCTCTTCCATTTTCTGCCATGCAAAAAAAAAAAAAAAAAAAAGTTAGATGTAATTATTAAGGAAAGCCAAACATAAAACAAAGTATAAACGAAAATTAAAAAAAAAAAAACAAAAAACAAAAAAGAAAAACGCTGCAGTAAAAAAGTTTGAAATGTGATTCAAATCCGTAAAACAAGAGAAGTACCAAAAAGGGAGTTTGTTTGTTTTTTTTTTTTTTTTTAGTACCTTGAGGTGAGATTAATGGAGGGGGATTGGAGATTATGGAAGATGTGATTGTAATGGGAGAGGTGTTGGGAAGCTGATCTGTGGAAGATAAATTAGGGAAGTTTAGAGGGTAAAAGTATAAGCGAAGGAGGGCTATGGGAAAGAGAGAATAGATGGCCCAAGGTAAGAACTTCTTGGTGAGGGAATGAGATTGGTGGTGGTCTTTGAATGGGCTTGTTGTGCCCATCTTATGCCACTACTAATTCTTCTGCTTCTCTCTCTCTCTCTCTCTCTCTATATGTATATATATATATATATATAGCTTCTGTTTTGTGTGGCGGTGTTTGTGAGGAGGTTTTGGCTGAGGAAAACTGATGAGAGGAAGGAAAGGCAGCTCAGTTTCTGGGTTGGCATATAACACAAGGAAAGGAAATAAAGGGGGTAGAGAGAGAGAGAGAGAGAGAGAGAGAGTTTTTATTTTAATTTTGAGATTAAATTGGTTTTGTGTGTGTGGGATGGGAATGATCGAGGCAAAGTCACATCGAGAATCCCATTATATCTCCGGGGTTGGCCAACTAATTTTAGGAACCATTGGCGCTGCTACTCTTTGTCCGCATGCCTGTTCTTACATGTGGTACTCTCTGCCGGTGCTTGTCTTTTTTATTTTATTTTCTTTTTCTTTTTCTAAATGTTAATTTCTTTTTTTTTTTTTTGAAATTTTTACAACAGGATGTGAAAATATAGCTCGCTAACTGGTATGACCTTATAGGATTGTACATTAATTTAATTAAAATCATAATAAAATTAAAAAGTATGTGAATACACTTTTTTATTATATTTGATAGATAAAAAAACCTTATAGGATTATACATATTCTTTTACCGTTAAATTTAATTAAAATCACAATAAAATTAAAAAGTACGTGAACACACCGTTAAATTTAATTAAAATCACAATAAAATTAAAAAGTACGTGAACACACTTTTTATTATATATATGATAGAAAAAAAAATAAAAACTTATTAGTAACTCATTTTTTTAAGTCTCCCATAGAAATCTCTAAGAAAATATATCTTAGTTGTATGATTCTGTTTTGAAGTGTTAAATTTCTTTAATTTTACATATTTTTTTCGGTTTAATATGATTTCACTATAAGCATGCTTAGGATAAGATAAAAGTTCTTTTTTGAAATTAGGTGGAATTGTGGAAAGCGGGAGAAAAGTAATAATTCTTTTCCCCTCTCTCTTCCTCAATATCAATAAAATACATGGCCGCCCTCTACAATGCTATAACTATTATTGTGCATAATAACATTATTGGATTCGTTTGAATTGTTATTACAATTAATTTTTTATTATAAATTTGTGATTGATAAAAAATTTCTGATATAAATTTTTGATAGATAAAAAATTTTAATTATTAATAGTACAGTATTTTATGGATATAAATGTAATATTAAGAGGGGGTTAAAAAAACTCCATGTTGCTCAAACTATTTATGGAGACATCTCTTTTAATAAGTTTATATGGATCATAGTTGGGCAATGGTGTTTTTGAGCCCAAAATACCTTGTATAATTAGTAGTTGAGAAATCTTGAGAAATATTATTTAAAAGTGTACGAGTTTTAATTTTTAATTTTTAATTTTTATTAATAATATTTTTAATTAAATAACTATATTAATAAAAATTGTACTAATAAAAAATAAAAATTCTAACTAATACACTTTTTAAAGGTAAGTTTTATAATTTTTTCTTAGTTTTTTTAGTATAGATAAGATGTGTGTATGTATGTAATCATAACTATTATATATATATATATCAATGTATATAGTTCCATCAAACTAAATAATAGAGAGAAAGAGAGAGAACATAAATCAAAAGTATCATTGATAGTTACAAGCTAACTAAAAAATTGGCTTAGCAATATAAAAAACGCTAAGCACGTTGCTCCTAAACTACAGGACAATTTTCTTTGAAGAAAAAACTATAGGACAACAGAGAAGGATATATAGTTGGGGTCCACTCAGAATCTACGGTGGGCAGATTGAAAGGACAAGCCATAACGAAGCATCTTCCGAGCCGGTCACTTGACACTTGTAGCTATAGAAATTGAACAACAAAATGGCACCTCAGATCCAGATTCAATTCAATATTTTTCTAATAATTAATATTGCTAAGCTTGAAATATCCATTAAATATTTCATTTGGTCATGGCTCTATTTGTTCATCGCATGTTAATGTAAGGATGTTTGTAATTAATATTTAATTTATGACTTTCCAAGGAGTATCTATAAGTAAATAAATACATAGCCGCCCCCATGAACATTGCTTGGTAATTGTTAATGGTGCTACCAAAATCATTATTTAATCGAGCTATATATTATAGTGTGTAGAATATAAATGTTCATCACCCACTTATATATAACGCGTTGCTATAGATTAAATGTTATTCAATAGTCACAACTAGCTATATATTAGTAGGTGCAATATGAAGTAAATTATTACTCACAAGTCATTACTATATTCGTCCATTAAACATAAATTGTCTTTACCAATTTTCATTTCTTAAGGAGTTATTTTTCTTCTTCGAATTCTTTTTTTTTTTTTTTTTTGGCCAACGAAAGAGCTAGCTAGGCTTTCTTTTTCCCATTAATAGAACGAACCGAGTAATTAAATTTATGAACATTTTTATAACCTAAGCAAACATTAGAGCTAGGTTATCCAAAACTTAATTTCTTCTGATCAAAGATTAGGAGTTTGGACGTTAATTATAATAAATGTGATCAGTACAGTTTACTCGTGTTTACCTAGCCATAGATTAGATATTTAATGATATTAGGTATTAGGTATTAGGTATTAGGTATTGAAAACGATCAAAAATTAGCCAGAATAAATTTAATGTTGGAGAAATTCGGATTTAAGAGGGTGAAAAGAATTTAGAAATCAAGAAGAGGGTTTGAGGCGTATATGAATACTTTCTTTTAAGGTTTTATTTGCCCTCACTTCTCAAAGTTTGTTAATGAGTTTTAATGGCAAATTACCCAAGATACAACAAACCCTTGAACACAATATCCAGCAAAAATATTGAGTTTCAGAACAATCATAAGTCTGTATTTTTTGAATGCATTAATTAAAGACAGGGATCCATCCATCATCTTTAAACGTTACAACCTTTCACATAAAGATACATTTTCCAATTTTAAGGTTATCTTTTATATGCTGATGCACTTATAACAATAGTTATTTCTATTGTTAATAAGTACTTAGATATGTGAGAAAACACATTACAAATGGATGCAATGGTTCAAGACCTTTTCAGATCACTAAAACACACGAAAACACATTTTCCAGTAGCAATTTGCGCTGTAGCGGATGACATTCACATTGCAACGCTCGGGCTTCACAAAATAGACCCGAGAGGTATGTTTTGTGCGCGCTGCAGCGCACGCTGCTGTGCGTTGCAGCGCTCGGGCATCACAAAACAGACCCGAGAGGTCTGTTTTGTGCGCGCTTGTGCGTGCCTGTTCTTTCCGAATGTGTTTTAGACCAATTTTTTTGTAATATTGAAATTGAGAGATATATTACAATCTCTCTAACATTTAATTAATATTATTCCTTGATTTTGTGAGTTTATAGTGGAAGCAATTATTGATTAATATTGCAGATTATCTATTGTCCTCTAAAGTTGCATCAAACTCGTGACGATGATGATTTTAATGGCGATGTCATATTCATAATTATGGGCTTGGTTGATTAATTCGCGTTGTAAACTCATAACATTGACATTGGAAAACTACGTAATCTTTCTCTTTTTTTTTTCTTTTTTCTTTCTTCATTACTGGAAAGAGACTTGCGAACTGCAACTAAAACTAAAAAATAAAAAAGGGAAAGAAAAGCATATAATTGAATGGTGCGTGTAGTGTAGGAAATAATAACACATAATTCACAAGGGTTATCCCAATACAATTACGTTCCAGCTAAAAAGACAAGACTTTTTGTGTTATAAAAGTAAAAAACGCCACTCATAATCATCATGTGAAATAATGTAAACCGAAGTGCTGCGTGATCACAAGATAATTAACATAAACCAACTTTTCATGCACTTTAAGTTGTGTATATATATATATATATATATATTTATATATTTATGTGTGTGTGTGTGTGTGTTTTAAATTGTGTGGTCTTTGTGATGAGCACGTTGATGGAAAGCACGTGAAATTCTTTGTGATGGGCATGTCATGTTTTGTTTTTTAAGAACTCCACTCTAATTAGTCTGTGAATACGTGTCCAAATTACTAATTAAGTAAACATCAATTTTATTTTTTGGTAAAGTTATACAATATTCACTATAAATAAATAAAAATTCTCCAATATTTTAAAAACTAATGACTCGTATTTTAAATTGAAAAGTCCATAATGCTGATATATAACTATAAAATGAAATGTATAAATTATGTTTTGATGAAAACACAATGAGATTATTTTTTAACATGGACAAGGGTATTATTTAATTTCCTTTCACTATATATATGCTTAAGAGAAAAGAAAAAAAAAAAACTATATATATGCAAATTTGGTGTGAATTTGAAAGTAGACAGATAGCCGTTTGGATTTTTATTTTTATTGAAAATTATGCATCTTTATAGTTAAAATAAATTCCCACACATGACAAGAAATTATAGTTCTGCTCTCATATTTATTATATTAGCAACCATCAAGAGATCTAGAGAGACAATGAGATGGAAAAAAAAAAAAAAAAAAAATTGTCCATTGAAAGCAAATTAGGATGAAAAAGGACCGTAGAAATCAGAGGCAAGAGATCAAGGGAAAACGAGAGAAGAACAGATATAAACTGTCTTATATATTTCCTGTCTATAATCTGTTTACTTATGCTGCATCATCTAAAAATTAAAGCAACTCAATTTTATAATTCTCATTCAATCACTCATTTATATAAATAAATTGGCTATTTAACTGAACGCATAACTTTTTATTTTTTTATTTTTTATTTTTTTGCTTGAGCATAATATATGACTTGGAAAGTTTGACTTAAACATATACTTGTATATAATATTGTTTGATCATAAGTTATGATTCATAACAACTCACACTCGCATTAGTGCAAGTTTCTCCACTCCCTGTAGCATAGAGCTGACCATTTACCTAATACTATTTTTGTATTGTCGTTCTCTCTTTTCCTTTTTTTTTTTTCCTAATGATTTTTTTTGGGGTGCTGGATCTAGAATGGCTGGATTCAGGGGTTCATTTAGTAAGAAGATTTAAATTAGGGTGATTTTAATCATAATTATGGAATCAGAATCATGATTTTAGATTCAAATCATGATTCTGAAACCATGATTCAGAATTATGAGTTTGAATCACCTTTAATGAGGGGTAGTTTTAGAATCATGATTTGAGATAGACATTACATCAGATTCTAAATCATAATTCAAAATCATCCAAATCAAACACTAATTCTGAATCATGATTCAAAATCACTGTAAATAAACACCGATTCTAAATCAGGATCCAAAATTATTATTTTGGATCCATCTACCAAACGCACATTCTAAACCAGGATCCAAAATCATGATTCGGATCAATCAGGGGACGTTTGTTTCCTATATCCGTCCCTGATTCTGAATCATGATTCACGATTCTCTATAGTATTTTCTCTCACAAAAAATACACATAAATTGAAAATAATTCTGAATATATAAACTAAATGTCCCCTTAATCTTTACAACTAGATTCAGTGGCTCGTGTTCATGAGACATGGAGAGAAAAACAAATAAATAGATCAACGGTTGGGAGAAAATGAAAATCTATGAACATGCACCTCAAAAATCTTAAGATGCCACCGACTAAGGCTCAATTTTTTTTTTAATTTTAAATTTAAGAAAAAAAAGTCGTACCTATTACTATTATTGTCCTCTGTTTGGTCATGATGTTGGAACGTACAAAAATAAAAGAAACATCTAGTCCAGTCCTCTACAATGTAATATGGCCATGCCTAAAACGTAAAGCAAACAAAACATGCATGAAGATGCTCAAATGGAAAATAGAAAATTATTAATCGAAAATTTTAAAACTCATTTAGTTCTAACGTTTAAACTAATAATTTTTAATTCTAATATTAAAAATTTAAAATTTTTATAAAAAAACATTATAATAAAATCAAAATTATGAATTTAAACTCATAAAATAAATCCCCTCAAGAGACTTGTGCATGCCCATCGCATTGCATTGCCTGGGATGGAGATCGGACATGAAGCCCGGATGCGCTACTGATTTAAAGTGGTGGCCAGCTCAGCTCCAGAATGGGGAAAATGATTTATTTGTGGCGTCACATAAATAGGTCTAAAAAAGAGAGAAAAAAAAAAAAATTGTCCCCACATTTTGTTGTGAAAGGCCATTGCCACACAGCTGAGGCCCACGTGACAAAAAATAAAATGCTAGCTTGAGAACACCGTGAAAGCAACCAGATCCACGTGGGTGGTAATTCGTGTTGACGGATCGTATTCGTATCGTATTAACTCTCTCAGTTAACACGAATATGTATGATACGAATATGACCCGTTTATTAATCGTGTCGAAATACAAAATTCAAACACGACATGTATATTAGCGGGTTAACACGACACGACACGAATAACTCATTTATTAAACATGTGATAAATAGGTCATGTTAACCTGTTAATTACCTGTCAACTCATTTATAAAATAAGTGATAAATAGGTCGTGTTAACATGTTGATTACCTATAAACTCGTTTATAAAATGAGTGATAAATAGATCGTTTTAACCTATTTCTGAACCTATTTTTAAACTTGTTTATAAAATATGTGATAAATGAGTCGTGTTAACCTATTTTTGAACCTGTGTATAAGTTTTTAAGCAAATAATATTCTCTTGTCGGAGCTAAAATCTAAATATTGTGCATATATAGTGCGTTTCTCGCAAAAACTGAAAGTAATCTTAATTATCACTTGTTTTACTCAGAAAAATACAAGAGCTTGTCAAATTACAAAGGGATCATAAGGCTTAGAATTGCACCATAAAAACGTACAATCTTTTTTTCTTTCCTATAACTTAAGTATATGAGAGTAATCTAAAGTTTCTTTAAGATATAATATAATATCCAAAGTAATTAATTATTGCTTTCTTTAATCATTGGGATTAACTCTCTCAGTTAACACGAATATGTATGATACGAATATGACCCGTTTATTAATCGTGTCGAAATACAAAACTCAAACACGACATGTATATTAGCGGGTTGACACGACACGACACGAATAACTCGTTTATTAAACATGTGATAAATAGGTCGTGTTAACCTATTGATTACCTGTCAACTCATTTATAAAATAGATGATAAATAGGTCGTGTTAACATGTTGATTACCTATCAACTCGTTTATAAAATGAGTGATAAATAGGTCGTTTTAACCTATTTCTGAACCTATTTTTGAACTTGTTTATAAAATATGTGATAAATGAGTCGTGTTAACCTATTTTTGAACATGTATATAAAATGGGTAATAAACGGGTTGTGTATTCGCGTTACCTAAATATGACACGTTTAATAAACGGGTTATGGCGGGTCAATTGCTGGTTGATGGGTCAACCTGAAAATGACACGTTATTTAATCGTGTTTCACGGGTTCGACCTGATTTTGACCTGGACCTATTTATGATAAACCTAAAGCCGCTAATTTCGTGTGAATTTCAAGTCGTATCATCGTATCGCTACCCAAATTGTCAGCCTTAGATCCACATCAATGACTCTTGAGTGAGACAATCTACTGTTACAAAGGGCTAACACTAACTAAGGCTGTGTTTAGTAAGAGTGACGTGCATATTGGAGTGGTCATCTCAATACGAGTTGGTATTCTGCTGCATCCGCCGTTCCCCTTCGTGTTTTTGTCTAGAGGCACGTCCACCTATGAAAGCACTCGAACGCTCAAGTTATTAGATGTTTGTGGCGAGTGGCAAAACATGTTATATTTGTAACAAGGCATGTATTAAGGCACACAACCTTAGTCCCATCGCGGAGATTCAATGGGTGTATATATATATATATATTTTTTGTTGGAGGTGTGTGTTAGGGTTGTTATGCTATTTTGACATCAAGTCAGGCATCCCACAAATATACACTATAAATTGAAAACTCTTGTTTCATAAATTTAAATTCAAATTATTTATTCTGTTATAGTATTTTTCTCTCATAAATAATTTAAATTTCAAACGTTAAAATCAAAAATCGTGATTTTAATATAACTTCTAAACAAGCTGTTGGAGTTTGTACATGCAATAATCTATGTTCATATGTGAACCATGGCAGTGTCCTTGCCCTTGTATCGTTTCGTTCTTCAAGCTTGTGTACTCGAGAGAATAGACGCACCATGTACCTTAGGCATATACATATGGTGGTCCTATGAGGGTTGCCAAAGAAGGCCGGATTCATCTTCTAGAAGTTGGCGGTGATGTGTGTCGCAAGAAGCAATTCCCAAATCAAAAGGGCGTCACTATCTTGAACACGAATAGGGATAGGCTTTGTGAAAGAGCATGGTAGGATTTCGACATGTGGTGGTGGAGCTCTACTGCTTGTTGCTCCTAGAGTTCTAAGGCACCGTTATCTGGTGGCATTGTGATGAGCCTCTAAATTTTTTTTATCATTCTCTCTTTCAATAAAATCCACTCTGAAACAATTCTTGAAGCAATAAATTAGTTTTGTTTAACACACTAAGAAATCTGACAAGAAGAGGATTTTGTGATTTTGGGAAGAGGAAATTAAAGTTTTCGGGACGGGGATTAAATTGTTTTAGGGTTTGAGATTTTGGGAGGAGAAAATTAGATTTTAGTAAGGAGAATTTGAATTGATTGAGATTTGGGTTAATTTGGAATAAATTAGATATTTTTTATTTTATTTTGAGTTATTAGATCTTTATTTAGTTTAAAGGACACATCAGGAAATTCAACATTAAATTAGGTCATATGCGTTGTGCACGTGAAAAATTTCATAAAATATTAGATAGATATGATATATGTTACCTATGTTGTAAATAAATCAAGAGTCTAAGGACTTGCTTGTCAAAATTAAACAAATAAGAATCAAATAATCAATACTGAACAATTCAAGAACTAATTGTGTAATTGTTCAAAAAAATGGTCATATTTTTCAATAAAGCTCCAAAAGTGTAATGGAGTCATAAATTTTAAGCATTTCTATTCAACATCACACATAGATGACTACACGAGATACAAAGGGTGGATCCCACAAAAGGAAGTAAGGAACGACCTTTATGGAACTTCCTTGGTCTCTTCCATTAGCAGCTCTATCGATTTTTGTAATTTTTTTTTTTCTCTCTTGAATGGATATTCGTTAGCGTAAAATAACACCAATACCACTTATGAAATCTAGTTATTCACTTGTACCAATTTTATGTGTAAATTATACTAAAATCTTGTTGCAAAAGTAATAAATTATAATTCCAACTCTTGAAAATGGTAACTTGCAATACATCCGAATGTTGGGAGAAAAAAAAAAAACCTAAAAGAGATGGATTGAAATAAGAGAAAATTAGATAGCATGCCTAACTTTGATGTGTTTTCTGATTTATACCACACTTTTTTTTTTATAGTTTAGATCCAGCCTTTTTACAAGTGGCACAAATCTAAATTTCAATATCCATAATAGATCCAAGGGTAAGTTTTTTTTTTTTTTTTTTTTTTTTTTTTTCCGAGTCCCTTCAATAAAGTAAATATATATTTTGAGAGAAATTCAGCTTTGGACGTGATTGCACTTGGGCTTTTTTTCGTGGACCCAGTGACATTGGGCTTCAGATAGGTCCTGTTAATGTAGACTGTCTCTCTGATCGGCCCAACAAAATAAAACCCAGCGCACTCAGACCAATAACGCACGGAACAGCATCGCAGAGCATCAAAACCCCCCAAAAAGAAGAAGAAGAAGACGAAGACGAAGACGAAGAAGAAGATTGAAGAGCAATGGCCATGGAAGGAAGCAATGCCAACGCAGAAGAATTAGCAGTGGGTTGCTTCCTCTCCATCAAAACAACCTTCGGCGACGAATTCCAAGCCCAAGTCATCACCTTCGATCGTCCCTCCAACATTCTCGTTCTTCATATCCTTCCCTTTTTGTTCTTACTTTCTTCTCCCTTTTCTTTGCCCTAGAATTTTAGCTCTTTCTTTTCATGGTGGTTTTTTTTTTCAAATTTTTTCCTTGACAATTGGTTTCGCCACAAGAGGGCTCCAAATCAGGTCCTCGCCGCAACATAAGGCTTCTCAAGGCCAACTACATAAAGGAGTTCTCTTTGTTGGGTCACGCGGAAGATCCGCTCGATGTCAAGAAGTGTTTTCTCGATCTCAATACTTTGCAAGCCAGAGAAGAATCCGCCATTCGGTAATTCCGGGATTTTTTTTTTGTTTTTTGTTTTTTTTATTATTATTTAATTTTGATGATAATGGCGAGGTTTGATTGCAGACAAGCGGAGACGGATGCTGAGAGAATAGGCGTGGGAGTCACCAGCCAAGCGCAGAGCATTTTTGATGCTTTGTCTAAGACGTAAGTTCTTCTAAGCACATTTTTTATTGGTTTCCTTAATTGAAATCCGCACTTTTTTTTTTTGCATATTTTTCTGTTATTTATGGTTATACAATCTATATGTTGGAAATTTCTTGACGGTGGAATTGAATTTCGTGACTAGTAATTGAGAATTATGCGCGATCATAGTTAAGCTCCTCTTTTTTTTTTTGGTATATTACGCTACATATAAATATGTAATATGTTAGGTTAGTTAATTTTGAGTCATGCTGTCTAGTTAAGTATTGTTATGAATTCTTGAAACAAGGAAACTATTAAGAGGAGGAAGCAAAAAATGAGAAAAAATGTGCTTGATTTTGGATGTAATTATGACTTATTCAATTAGTCTCCTCCCTATTTGTTGAAAGGGAAAGTTATTGCATCTCGAGATATTTGAAAGAGGAGATTTAGTCACTAAACATGGATTTATTATCTGACTTGGACATATTGATCAACTAACTCGTTCATCAAATTTGATAACCGAATAGGAATTTGGTAAGATAATCTAAACTAAGATAGTTATTGTCATGCACAAGGAGAATGTTGAAATCAAAATTGGCTTCGCTCAGTGATCATTGAAAGCTCAATTCAGCCTATGCAGGTAACTAGTGTCCTGATGTATACACAAGCTGAAGTTGCATAAAAGAGAAGAATGTCTGGTGTTGTGTTTATTTGGTGATTTCTTATGTTATAGGGTTAACCTTAGCTGTGCCTCTCGAACTTTAGGGTCATTCCCAATTTACTTCCTGAATTTTAAAAACTCTCACGTAACATTTTAAATTTTGAATTAGTTCTACTTAAACCCCTTTGTCAGAATTTATATTACAAACAGACCGAAACACAGGGAGTCAAGTGTGGTTATGTGGTTTTTTTTTTTTCTATTTGTTTTTAACACAAATTCTAACAGAAAGACCACATTACCGTATTGCTCCTTTTCTTTTAGTCTGTTTTTAATAGAAATTCTAATAGAGGGGTTAAATGAGACTAATTTAAAATTTGAAGGGGGATGGAGGCAAAGTGGAAGTTTTTATGGTTCAGGAGGGGCAAAGTAGGAACGACATTAAAGTTCGAGGGGCACTAGTGTGAATAATCCTGCGTTTTATGAGTGTACCCTTCTTTTTTTCCAGAAAAGGAAATCGAGTTACTTGACTGTTGTACACCTAGAGTTTTTATATTTGTTGATTTGTTGTCACTTGTCATTACAAAAAGAATGTAAGCTCCTTTTTGGGACCATAGATACTTTTGCATTGGTTGACTTTGTCATTGTGAAGTGATACCTGTTTGTAGATCTAATGCTGTATACATGAAATTTGGTTCTGATTAGGCATCAAAATAAAGCTTAAGCTGTCTACGTGAGTATAAATATGTTGATCAGTAGTTATATTCTGCAACATTTTTGAAATGTTATTTGAATTATGTGCATGCAGCGCGCACGGATGCATGAAACTTATAGTTACTTATGATACTCTAGCTTGTGAAACTGTTCTAATCTTCTTGGTTTTTGAAGAAAGTCGAAAACTATGGATCCCTAGAGTCAGTTATGTTAATCTTCTTGACTGATTGTTAATATCCAGGCTCCCAGTTCGCTGGGACAAGACTGTTATTGTTGTGATGAATGAGGTGCGTGTAAGCAGTCCATATCTTCCTGAGTCTGTCCGTGGAGGAACTCCTGCTGCCAATGACCGTGTTAAGAAAGTGGTAAGACACCTGAATGAGGTTTAGACTTAAGATTGTTTTCAGGGAAATTAATCACACTCTTGTGCACATGTTACAGTCTTTCATTGAAATATTTGAATTGTCTAGATTGAATTTGAGAGGAAGAGGCTGCAAGCTCGTAGCAGCGGTCAGTAAGAGTTCCAGATTTTTGGCCAATGGCTGCTTAGGCAAATTTGCCTTGAGAGATGAATCATGATGGGTATGTCGCCAGAACCCGACCTTATCAGAGAGGAAGATACTTACCACCATGGACATCTAGTTGCCTAAACTATTGAAATGAATTTCATATTTACATGCTTGTTCAATCTTTAGTTGCTCTTTCCTCGAGGCAACAAGCTGCTCTTAGTTCAGTTCGTTTCATGAGGGGGTTTGTCTTGTTTTAACTGACACACTGATTTTACAGTTAGATGATCTCATTTATGTCAGAGAATTTGTGAAATAAGCATTTCGTTGTGTATAATCTAATAAATAATTTCTTTGAACCTAGACCTGTCAACTATCCTCGTACAAATGCATTTTTTTATGGTAAAAATGAGCATGAAAGTGGATAAACAAATGCTGAGGAGTGAGGAGTAGTGAGTGCTTTGTAGTCGAGGTGAAATTATGGGCAAGGAAGAAGTTTACAGGAATGTTGGATTTTCTTGGGAGCTAGTACTTGTTTCCTATGACCTATGCGTTGATTCTTTATGCTCTATTATATGCATGCTGACGATGGAGGAATTAGGCTCCCTCCTTGTTTCAAATTTTTGTTACAAAAAAAATAATGTTTTTTCACATGTGAATTCATGACGGGGTATTAAAATTACTTGCCACCATTCTAAACTTGGACATGATTCTAATGAGATGGGTTTGACGGTAAAGACAGATTTCTTAACGTCATTATGAGAAATTGATTGGCTGAATATTCTTCTGTACAGAATCTGCATCCTAATACTTTTTAAAGACGTCGTCTTGGTAGTGTTGGATCCATTCACATGTCTAGTTTAGAGCGTGATTTTGTTGCTTTTGAGGAAGTTCTATGAGGAGAAAGAAAAGTAAAAAAAAAAAATATTAAATTTAAGACATTTTATAATAATATCTTAATATAAATAAAAATATGATGAATAATAAATGTTAAAATTGTTATTTTACATTTTATTTTTTTGTCAAATTTTTTCTCTCATCTTTTCTTCTCAAAGTTAGAAAGATTAAAAATTAATGAGCCTGGTAGATTTTCATTTTCTTTCTTTTCACATTTTTTCTGTTAAACAACTTAAAATTTTATTTTTCTCTATAAAATTTTTTCTCTATTTTCTTTTATCTCTTTTTTCCGTCCAACCAAGCACAATAAGAAAAGTCCAAAAAAATAAAAAAATAAAAAAGAGCGACTTCCAATAAAATCATATTTATGGGGAATTGGAAATTATTGGACGGGAATGTCTCAGGGAAAGATTCCAGCTTGTTTATGCGAATGTATGACTGTAAACTAGGGATCTATTATCGGTACGACAGTAGCTATGAGAATCCATTTATACATATCCGTGCTTTGTGTAATGGTGATTTATGTATGGTAGTCATTTTGGTTCATTTGAGAAATTATGGGACATTTTTTGTAAACCTTAAAAAAAAAAAAAAACAGAGAGCTTTAGGATTTGTTAGTTTATCAATTCATCCTAAAAATTTAATCTATTAAAAGGTGGACCAATAATAATTTTATACTTTAATACTCTTTCTCACGTGTGGACTGGACAATAAACAATCACGTGGGTAAATTAATTGATAAACCTAACACGTGAATATTTAAGGCTGAGATATATTAAAGATCTAACACATTATGATAAATGAGAATAAAGAGTGTAATTATGAAGGTTTAAACTCAGGACCTCCGGCTCTGATCCCATGTTAGTTTATCAATTCATCTTAAAAACTTAAGCTGTTAATAAATAGATCAACAATAGTTTTATACTTTAACAGACTTAGTATTTTCTGAATTTTTTCGTAGTATAGTACTTTTCATCTTTATTTTTTCATGACAGTTTAGTCTTTGAATTTAAGAAATAATATTAATCAACTTCAATCGGTTATAGGATCGAATTCAGGATAGATTAGTTTTGCTTTTCCAGATCTTGTGCGGTTGTGCTTTAAGAACTTGTCGTAATTCAGTCCTTTGTCCCTGATTTTTTTTTTTTTCCTGTAAAGGTGAAAATCACAAATTTCTTAAAATCTAATTCCTGTTAATTGTTTGAGTTAATGCTACTAAATTACCAAGAAAATAAATTGTTAAACCAAAAAGAAATTCAGCATATGGAAGTGCTATTTTTGAATCGTCCATAGTTTTCAATATCTAAATAATCTATTACATACCATCAAACATCTAGCTTACAAGATTAACTGAATGTTGTTTGTTGGATTCAGATCCCGGATAGTGTTTAATCAATCATATTATACCATAAAGATTAAAGATTTGAATTTGTACTAGGATTATCAAAGGAAATAATATATTCAATTAATATTAAATAACGCACACGAGATTACAGTTAAATCATTATCTAAAATCAGTAAGTAATATTAAACAAAACACACGAGATTACAATTAAATCATTATCCAGAATCATGCATCGACACATTGTAATCATGAAACTTGATTCGGGGTCGGTGTGTTACTATCTTGGCAAATAAGATAAATTGAGAGATTACAAGACCATTATTACATTCCAGAATCAACCAAGTAGCTTCTCTATAACCCCACAGCCAAAAAAAAGAAAAAAAGAAAAAAAAAGAACCACATATGCCTTGGCACCTATATATGCATTAGCCTCACTGTATAACAACATGAATCAATGGTTTCAAGACAACATGTAGCATAGAAGAAGGCATTAAAGTGCTTTTAGCAAAAATTCATCAATCACGTATGCCTGTGGTTTTGTTTCTCTTTTCAGAACACAAACAGCTTCCAAGTGCGAAGCTTCCTTTTTTTTTTTTTTTTGGTGGCTATTGAGGAATACTGTTCTAACCCAGTGTAAATTAGGTTGTATTTTTGGTAAATGTTGCTCGTGTTAATTTTCAGTTCTAGTTATTCACCGATACTATTTTAATGTGAAAATTAGACAAATTTTCTATAAAAACGATCCATTTGAAATTTAAATCCCTAAAAGTGATATTCCTCTTAATCACTCGTATATGCACATACCTAAGATGGAGAATTGCGTTTGATTGGTGAATTCGCGCCATAATTCATACAATATTTTATTTTATAAAAAATACACGTAAATTAAAAATAATTCTAAAGTATAATTTTAAATTCATGAACTAAACATCCGCACTTTAATTCTTGTTCGGTTCCGCTGGCAAAAGAAAAAAAAATGGTAAATAGGTCCTAGATATGGCATTCAATTACATGATTGGCAGTACCCTCCTATTTATTTTCCATTGTGGTATTTTATTTTATTTTTTTGTTTTTTTCCCCTAGAGTTTGATCGATTTACATGTCCTCATTATGTTCGATCTAGGGGCTAGGGAAAAAGGAAGATGGCGAAACCTGTTGTGTAGGGACAGGGAATGAAAACCTTTCTTTCGAAAAGAAAAAGAAAATTCGCTAGTTTATTAGGCAATCAATGAAATGACACAAAACAAATTCAAAGAAACCCAAGATGGAGACAATTTCTTTCTTTTTCTTAAAGTGAAAATAACATCTTATAGTTTCACATCAGAAACTACTGGAATGTGGGCGTCTCAAATCTATGCCTGTCTCTATTCTTAATCTAGCCCCGGGAATAAAAGGAAAGGAAAAAAAAAAACAAAAAAAAAACAAAAAACTGTACATCAAACTTTAACTCAACTGAAGAAATGGTGTGGAATCTGGACATATCCCAGTATAAGTTCCATTAATAATTCACAAGATAAAAAGTATAAAAAAAAAAAAGAAATAAAAAGTTCCTTGAACAATAAACCCACTGTAACGTCCACTTTTGTTACCAAGTTGAGCATTTTATTTGGCATCTAATTCTTTATACTGTCGATGGCGGAGGTCATCACGATGATAACTTTTTCTTTCTTTTCTTCCTTTTATTTGTTTAAAACCACTATGGTAACTTGGTGGATCTTCACGATGTTGTTTGTTATATTTTTTGTAAATCCAATATACTACTCTACCCACCAAAATTAAATTGGCAAAATGACATTTTTTATTTTATAAAGTGAAATTAACAAAATAACATTTTTTATTTTATAAAGAAGGATTACCTGATGATTTTTATAAAAAAGTTGTTGTTCCATAATCATTTTACAAATAAAAATAATAAAAATTATTTTTTCTAATAAAACTTACTTATGAAGTCATTTCTTCTAGAGTATTTTTTTTTCTTTTAATACCCTACAATAGAATTCTCTGTAATTCTCGTCTATCATAAAGTGATTATGGACTATGCCATTTACCATATAGACCCTTTTTGGAGTTCACAACGAAAATATAATTTGCAAACATGTCGTTCACTTCGTTGATTCGAGTTGATATGTGACTTTATGTAAGAGCTTTTTACTGTAATAAAAAAATTAAATGTGATTATTTGTGAGAACTTTTTACTGTAGAAAAACTTAAATTCTAAATTTGAATAAGTGAAGTGTACGTGCCGACATGTCCAATACATGGAGTTTACGTGAATTCAACTAATAACTTTTTTGTTTAGACCTTCATCATTCCAATATAATATGTTGGTGTAACGTTGACTGTACATTATTTTTTTTTGGATAATTAACGTTGACTGTACATTTTATATTTACTTTGAATATCATCCAAAAGGGTTATAATTTTTGAGTTTATTACAGAAGAGAGATTCTTTCCAGTTTGTCCAAGGACGCGTCAGTGCAGAATCACAAGACAACTCAGAATCCAAGTGTCAATGGCAAAAAGACGAGGGACAGAACGGAGATCATTTTTATGTGTGCGTTTGACATTACTTTGATAACGAAAACGACTCATCAATGTATACTATCTCAGCCTTAGCAAGCCTGCAACATTTTTTCTAAACCCCTCCATCAATCTTTTCCGGATTTCCATTCTCACAAGTCACAGCAAAAAAAAAATAAAAATAAATAAATAAATCAAAATCAGTGTGTAAAGAAGTATGAAAATGGCCAACTTTGATATTAAATTGAATACTAAAAAAAAAAAAAGAGTTGCTTGGTTTTTTATTTTTTCATTTTGAAGTTTAAATTATTTGTTTGTATACAAATGTAAAGTATAGTCCAAGTGATAAGAATGGTAGTAAAGGTGACGGTGGAAGAGACCCTTTTTATACAAACTTTATCTTTACGTAGACTGAAGATCAAAAGAAAGAAAGACCCACATTAATAGAAGTATATAAAAATATAAAAAATTTGAAAACAACATCAGATTCTTTGGGTCGCCTAGAGGTATTCTTCTCTTCTTTCTCGCTTTTCCCTTTTGCTTTTTTTTTTCCTTTTGTTTCTTTACCTCTAAGTTGGTCTTGTCGGTTGTAAAAGCATCACGATGTTTTATGTCACATATTAATTTCATTGCATTATATACACACACCACTGACATATTTGTTCTTTCTTTAGCTTGAGCAACCTTTTTCATAAGACTTTGCCATTTTCTTCTGGTTATGTTTCGTTGATCAATCTTGGTAAGCGCATATTTGAGTGAATTTTGGTCTAGTTGGCTTTGTGGTGGTGGTGGTAGAGTAATTTTTTGGGGACTGAAACGCCTCGGTCTTAGTAAAGTTGTTTTCTTTTTTCTCAACCTCTTTTGATTGTTTTGTAAGTTCTTTGGAATTTGGGTTTTGTTAAGAAATTCAAGTAATACAGTACTGTGTTGTACTGGTAGAATTAACAAAGTTTTTTTTTTTTGTTCATATATAGATGTTTATAAATATATACATATAGAGAGAGAGAGAGAGAGAAGAGAAGAGAAGAAGTGAAGCAAGCATGGTAGGAGGTGGAGGTCAGGCACCGCCGCCAAAACAAGAGGAGCTTCAGCCTCATCCGGCAAAAGATCAGCTTCCTAATATCTCTTATTGCATAACAAGTCCTCCTCCTTGGCGTGAGTACTTACTATTATTTTTCTTTTTTTTTTTGGTATTTTCTAATTTCTTTTTTCACCTTATTGTTGAGCATGATACTTACAAACCCATTTCACTTTTTTTTTTTGGGGTAAATTTTAATTCTTTCACTGATCTGTATGAACCCCATTTGGCACTACACATTTGGAAATGTAATTTAAAGTTTTCTGCTTCCTTTTGTAGTTATTTTATAATTGTGAAATTGTTTCTGTACTCAGCTGAGGCTATCTTACTTGGTTTCCAACATTACTTGGTGATGCTTGGCACAACGGTTCTCATCCCGGCCGCTCTGGTGCCCCAGATGGGAGGTGGAAATGTAAGTCATTATAAAAAGTATACCAGCAATCAAGCAAAACAATTTTTCAAGCTTCTTTACTCTTTAAGAGTCTTAACTGTCTATTTTTATTGAATTACAATGAAACCTCTTTAGGAGGAGAAAGCAAAGGTGATTCAAACGATACTGTTTGTTGCTGGTTTGAACACATTATTCCAAACGTTATTTGGAACTCGTTTACCTGCTGTTATTGGAGCCTCGTATTCCTATGTGCCGACAACCATTTCGATAATCTTGGCTGGCCGATACAGCGACGTTGTGAATCCTCAGGAGGTGTTTTTCCTTTGGAACCCCTCCGTTTGCTTTGTTCTTCCGTTACCCGTATTTTCTCAATTTAAGCCTGATTGGTATGTTTTGTAATGATTGCAGAAGTTCGAGAGGATAATGCGGGGGACGCAGGGTGCCCTTATTGTCGCCTCGACTCTCCAGATTGTTGTTGGCTTCAGTGGCCTTTGGCGTAATGTTGCGAGGTCTGCTTATTCTCTTCACTGTTATTGTTTTTTTTTTTTTTTTTTTCACTCAGATTCCTTTCAGTTATTCTTTTGCTTTTTCGCTTTTGTGGCATTCTAATCATCTTGGTGGCTCTCATATTTTTTAGACTTGGAAGTCTCTTCTAATTACTTCTATTATTTCAGGTTCCTGAGTCCGTTATCTGCTGTTCCTCTTGTAGCTCTATCAGGCTTTGGACTATATGAGTTTGGTTTCCCTGTGGTAAAAATCATTTTGTTTTTTTCGCGAAAATGATTTTCTAAAAATAATATAAAAAAAAAAAAAGCAACACTCCAAACCCCACCCTTTATTGCATATGATATGTAACTGCTTTTACTTTATGCTACTGACTCTGGCTTTGGATGTCTAGGTTGCAAAATGTGTGGAGATTGGGCTGCCTCAACTCATCATTCTAGTAGTATTTTCACAAGTAAGTTTCAGTGATAACTAGCGCTACTTCTTTTTTCTTTTTCTTTTTTTTTAAGGTTTTATTGTTTTCTTCTTCTCATAAATTAATCTTAACTCATGGAAACTTAACAGTACATACCTCATTTGATACGTGGGGAGAGGCATGTGTTTGATCGCTTCGCCGTCATATTCTCCGTGGTGATTGTGTGGGTTTATGCTCATTTGCTCACTGTTGGTGGGGCATATAAGAACACTGGACCTAAAACTCAAGCCAGTTGTCGAACTGACCGCGCTGGCATTATTGGTGCTGCCCCATGGTAGGGCTCTGTGGCGTTTTACTTATAATTGAATTCATTTGGTTATGATGCTCTTTTCTCTAATAATTATTACCTTGCTTAGAAGTATTTAGTTTAATATGCTGAACAGGTAATAGTAATGTGAATGATTGTTGTGACTAAGAAATTTCGTCTTAATGATTGTATATGGATATGGCCATGAAAATACATTGCGTCGAAATAATATGGTTGATTAGTGTAAATTGTGTAAAATGCATGGACACAGGATAAGAGTTCCTTATCCCTTCCAATGGGGAGCCCCAACTTTTGATGCTGGAGAAGCGTTTGCAATGATGGCTGCTTCATTTGTTGCTCTTGTAGAGGTATGAATGTTAAGTTTTCAATTGAGAAATTCGCTGTAGGCATATGATGACTTACGAACTTTTTCTCATATTTAGTTTGGATAAGCATGCTTTCTCTTTTAAGTGAGCAGTTTGAAACGATTTATAGTATTTGATTCTTCTTCTGTTGAACAGTCCACTGGTGGCTTCATTGCTGTGTCAAGGTATGCAAGTGCAACTCCGCTTCCGCCTTCTATTCTTAGCCGTGGCGTTGGTTGGCAGGTATCATATTCGAGCTCGTTTTACTTCAGCAATGGTTTCCTTGTTCATTCATTTCTATTATTAATGATTTCCTTTTTGTTTTGTGGAATGTACAAAATATATGTTTTCATTTGATTTTAGGGAGTTGGCATTCTGTTCTGTGGTATTTTCGGGACGGGAAACGGATCATCAGTATCCGTGTATGATTCTTCTCATCTTTCCTTACCTACACAAGACAATTTCAATTTGTAGAATAACTCTCTCTCCCCAACAGGCATGAGAAACCATTCTTTGATTTTTTGTTCCAGTGAAAATGCTGGTTTGTTAGCATTGACACGTGTTGGTAGCCGAAGAGTTGTTCAGATTTCCGCCGGTTTCATGATCTTCTTCTCTATACTTGGTAAGCAATTTACTCTGCAAATCAAATATAATCCTTTTCTCTTGAAACGATTATGGTAAGCTGTACTGTCTTCTTGCAGGAAAATTTGGAGCTGTGTTTGCCTCAATTCCACCGCCGATCATCGCAGCTTTGTACTGCTTTTTCTTTGCCTATGTTGGTATGTACAACAAATTGATGAAGTTAATTTTGCTCTTAAACAAGGTCAAATATTCTGATGTTTTTTTTTTTTTTTGCCTATAATTATGAATGAGCAGGTTCAGCAATGAATGAGCAGGTTTAGCAGGTCTCAGCTTGCTCCAGTTCTGCAATCTAAACAGTTTCAGGACCAAGTTTGTTCTAGGCTTCTCAATCTTCATGGGCTTATCAATCCCACAATACTTCAATGAGTACACAGTTATTAACGGTTACGGTCCTGTCCACACTGGAGCAAGATGGGTACTAACCATTTCCTCTGAAACACTTGGTCTCGTTCATTTCACTGATTCGAATTTAGAATTCGAGTTTTATTATAGTAAAAAGTTCTCAGAAAGTCACATTTAACTTTTTTGTTACAGTAAAAAACTCACATAAAATCACATTTCAACTCGAATTAAAAACTCGAATCAGCGAACTAAACGGGCTCTTTTTATTTTAATCCCTGTCTCACGGTGATTTTTTTTTGTTTATAACTTTCCCACTTCTTTGCAGTTCAATGACATGATCAATGTCCCATTCGCGTCGGAAGCCTTTGTCGCCGGCCTGTTGGCGCTGTTCTTAGACGTCACATTGCACAAGAAAGACAATGCAACAAGGAAAGACAGAGGCATGCATTGGTGGGATAGGTTCAGATCCTTCAAGACAGATACAAGAAGTGAAGAATTCTATTCCTTGCCTTTCAATCTCAACAAGTTTTTCCCATCAGTTTGATATTCATGTTGGAACAATCTAGTTCTAAAGATGGGTCTCCTTCAACATCTCAAACCAAGCTTTGACACTTAAAAATGGCATCTCCTTTTCTCCTCCATTGATGTCAACTCCATGGAAGCACATCCTTAATTAAGTATTATAAATGAGAATCTTTTTTTTTTGTTTTTTTTCACAGCTTTTGTTTCTTTTGTAGTAGTTGTACTTTTCTTGTGAAAACAATATTATAGTATTGAGATACTGAGATTGGTATACAAACCGTATCTTTGCCAATTGACAAATTTAATGCATTGTAGCAGCTTTTTTTTTTTTTTGGATAGAATTTTTTGCTTTTTCTTTGACTATAGTAACTATTGGCCCAATACTTTGATGCTTTTTTTTTTTTTTTTTCTCTGCTGTGTATTACACTTTTATGCATTTTCATTAAAGACGAAGAAAAGTAAGATTCGATCTCGAGTGTCGCGGAGGATTTACTTTTAACAAAATATTCTATTTTGTATTCGTTATTATCATGTGCAAACCCACCCTTGAGGGCATAAGCATTGGTTGGGTAAAATACATTCGGAAATAGTAGAAAATAGATGAATATAAAAACTTAAGAAAGTATATAGGTTAATTTTTAATTATAAGAATTAATAGGTCATAACTTGTTAAGTTATGGTTAATAATCAAATAAGTTATAGACAAACTGGTTCATAACCAGACAAGTTATGGACAAAAATAATAATTTAATTTATTTATTAACTTATGTAAACTATTAACTTATTAATTTTAATTCATCTCAAGTCTATTTTCCTCTTTCTCCCAAATACATTTTATGAATTTGGGCCATGCTTTGGGCCTTGCACTTGCATAGTGTTGTTTGATGGGCTGGTAATTTGTTTGGTATCCCGTACCATCGAATGGTCAACTACTGTAAATTAAGTGGGGAAATATCATTTGAGTGGTCAGACTCTGTACGCGACATAAAAGATCAATGTACAAACTGTAAGTTTTGTTTGGTCGGAGGAAAAAGTGGAAGGAGGGGTAGGGGTGGGAGGATAAGTGGATGAATTTTATGGATGAGTGGATTAGGCGTTGATTTTCTAAATCGAGATCTATGCCTATCAAAAATGGATCGAGTTAGGGATTCAAAATCTTTGCAGAATTTCAATTTAAGGTTGAAATTCATATTAAACACAGTAAGAAGAGCAATGTCTTTTCAGTTTTCATTTTTCTCATCACATATCTTACTCGTCTTCTTATATAAGATCAAGAACTGTGTAATACTATTTTCCTTTGAACACTGAAATGGGTGCATTCAATACAATAAAACTCTCTAAATGAATGTCTGACAAATCAATAAATCTCCTTTAAATAATTAAAACTTGTGACTAGAGTGGTAAGTTTTGAGTCAGGTTAAACGTGCCCGATCCGATACCTATCATTCTTGACCCAGCTTGGCCTTAACTTATGGGTCATGCCGAGCCGAAGTTTCGAGCTCAAAAGCTTATTTAGGTCAACTCGGCCCAGCTCAAAGTCATCTTTTAATTTTTTTTTTTAAATACCTTATAAAATTCTACACTAACCGTAGGCCTATCAGACTTCAGGACCGGGCTGAATGGGCTCTAAATTTCCATTTAATAGCCTAAACTTTCACTTCTACTTCCAATTCCGACTCGGGTCAATATTCCAGCATTAATTAAGGTGAAAGAAAGATCAAAGAGAAATTGCATGGGCTTGAAGTCGGATTAACGAGATATATATATATATATATATATATACATGTGCCATTGTATTTGAGGTTCACTTGTATATTCTGATAGCCACTAGTACTGAGTCTGTCTTTTTAGCATGAAGTCAAGAATAAAAAGATCTCTGATATTCTTTGATAAAAGTCAAGAGTTTAGTCACAAAATTATAAAATTCCTCCAAGAAACAAATTTGGAGGCTACTTGGTCGCATTTGAATACTCCAAATAGGTCTAACTGTGTAATAATGTGGACAAATCCTCCTTTAATCCGTTACGTCCCATGAAGAAAACTACTTATGTGATCACTGCTTGGTAACAAGTCTCTATTGTGGGACCCGTTGAGGTGCAAAAAAAAGGCCCATTTAGAATATGGACATTCAACCCTTCCTTGTGCCATCTCAATCCAGTCCACTAATAAGAATGGATTTCGGCCCCTTTCAGACCCATTCACTTTTACATGAGTTAATAATTAAGAGAAATATTGACAAATACTTCTTAATTTTTACTCCTTAATTAATATCTTTTTTAGTTTTATAATTATATTAATAAAAAGATATTAATTAAGAGTAAGAGGTAATGATCAAGATTTATGCACTTTTAAAGGTAAGTTCAATAATTGTTTCAATAATTAATAATAACAATAATGAACATGTGAAATTCATTACCTACAAGCAATCAAGGAAGTAAATGTAGATAACTTAAAATATATTTTTGCGATAATATTGGAGTGTATAGGGTTTCGATATATATAGCAGGGGAAAGATATAGGGCTCTTTGCACATATAGTAAAATTTAACTAGTGAAGTTGAAATAAGATTGATCAAATATTTTAAGAGTAGAAAAATTTGACATTAAAATAATGATTATATAATTATACAGGATAAAATGTGACAATATTATGATAACTGTTACGTATTCTTTTTATCTTTATTAATACTTTTAAAGTTTTGTTAAAGTTCAATTCGTTATGAAAGTTTGCTATGGAATATCAAATTTTTTCTGAATATCATTAGCCCAATATTTATATCTTTAACAAAAAAAAAAAAAAAAAAAAAAAAAACACACACACACACACACACAAATCTACAGATATTCTTCGACATTTAGATGAAATATGTATATATACATACATATATATATATATATATAATGCATCCTAAAAGAGAAAGAAACACGGTCGTAAAATAGGTTAAACTTCATGTAGTTTTACATCCTTAATACCATCTGTCAACTATATTTCTATAAATCGGGACCCTCTATATTCTCTTCGATACCGACATTTCAATCATCATCCACGAGCTGGTGAAAACGTATTTATGCATATATACATATATTCAATATTTTATAAAAGAAACGAATAAGAATAACACTGAAACTAGTTGCTTCACTCAAGGCTAGGAATTCCTCTATTATGTTGTGAAGTCGTTTTCTAACCTTTTATGAAGGTTTTTTATTTTTTATTTTTTTTTGAGTAAAGAACAAAAACAAAAACAGTATGTCCGAAATGTGTCCCAAAAAACTGAGGCAGCCTCAAAATAATGTGATTCAATCAACGATCATATGGGAAGCAGGGTGACCACCACCAATAATCGCAGTGTCAATTTTCTAAATTTTCTGCTAAATAGTGGTATATATTTTCATGCCTAACCAATAATTTAGGCTGAAGTGTCGTTTGGCTTTACACATTATATCCATTTCCAAGTAAGCAAGAGCACGCAAAAGAAACATTACCCCAATCATTTAATCACCCAAAAAAAAAAGTTTAGGGCAAAGTGGAAATCTTTTTTTTATATCATGCATGAATTTGCCACTAAACATCAACTTAAACGTCCGTAGGAAACCTGTTAAGATAAGATGGAAATAATATCAAGTGTTTGTTAAGCAGAAAAATGCAGTGCATATCATGGTTAAGACAAACTTAATCGCTTTATTGTTTTCTAATTTTCAATCAAAATATACACCTCATGAGGAGTTTTCATAATGTTTAGCCAAACAAATAATAATGATAAAATGTGCTTGAATTTTATGCAACGCCAGACTAGGATATATATTTGATTTTCTAAGTTAGTTTTTTTGTGGTCTTTTGTCAAAATCCAATATGGTATAGTGGTTTAGTCAGCAAAGACTCATGAAAGTTCTTTTCTGTTTTAATATTGATGTTTTAGATTCATCATTAGAAGCTTTTTTTTTTTTTTTTGAATTTTTCTCGAGCTGATCAATCACAAATTGACCCCATCATGAGTTATATAAAGTTGCCAAAATGACAATATGATATACAATCAATAATCATATCCTTAGCTGATCATAACCAAAGAAAAGCATAAATCTCTTCACTAAGAAGGTTTCTTTATGGATGATCTTTACCAAAAGAGATTAGTGTGTAATTCAAAATTTGCAAATTTTTAATATTATTCTGATATCATGTATTGCAGCTTTACAAGGAGAAATCCACATCGTGTGCTTAAAAAAAAAAAAAAAAAAAAAAAAAAAAAAAAAAAATTCAAGTTTAAAGTTATTTCCCACTAGCTAGCTGGAATTGCAAAGGAGATGCTGCATTATCTAGTTAAGGACCATTTTAATGCTCCATTAAGAGCACATAGAATAATGCCTATGATTGTTCAACACACTTTTAATAAGGCATTCTTGGAAGAGTCCTAGGAGGACATTCTCCAATTAAGACCCAAAAGTAGGGTTATGAAAGGAAAAAAAAGAGAGAGGAAAAATTAAAAAAAAATAAAGGAAAAAAGAGCATAGAAAAAGTTTATCTCCACCACCCACAGAAAGCTAAGAAATCCATGTTTTATTTATTTAGTGAGCAGAGAGAAATGTCACAAGCTATTATCTTTGACCTTTAAATCAAGAGTCGTGTTTTTGGAGCTTTGCAAGGTTCGGAGGTGGGTCCTAATATTAAGACCCGCTCTCAATGTGTTTTTAACGTTAGATCTGCCATACAAAGAGAAACAAGAAGAAAGAGCGAAATAGGTCAAGACTTAAGATAAATTAAAATTAATAGGTTAATAGTTTATATAAGTTAATAAATAGGTTAAATGACTGTTTTCGTCCATAACTTGTCTGGCTATGAACCATAACTTGACAAGTTATTGTCCATAACTTGTCTGGCTATGAACCATAACTTGACAAGTTATGGCCTATTAATTTTTATAATTAAAAATTGACCTATATACTTTCTTAAACTTTTCATATTGACATATTTTTTACTATTACCCAGAGAAATAGTACATATTCATCTGGAAGCTACAAATTTTTTTTTTTTCTCATGCAACTTTAATCAACAATATTTTCCCACTTCTGATATGGTGCTTGGATTATCTCTAAGAAACTTCCCCCATAAATAGTAAAATTGCTGCCTTAGAAAAATTTTATGTATTGTATTTGTCTCGTAGTTTAGGCCGCTGACAAGAACCTCACGGAAAATAACAAAAAAAGGGTTGAACTATTGACTAACAAAATAAGCAATAATTGATGTAACAAAACCGGGTTATTTCCCCCTACAAAAATAGAACTCCAAACCAACTGAGTGCACCCATAATACTAAGGTTGTCAATTTGTGTAATGTGTCGTGTTCGTATCGTGTTTTACTCATTTTTTTTTTTAAATTTACAGTCAATCCGAACACGACCCGTGACACGAAATTTTTTAAAAACCGCAACACGAACACGACCACTTTGCGGGTCGACACGACACGACATGAAAATGACCCGTGACACGAAATTAACCCGTGAACCTGAAATTGACACGAAAATTATAGACTTTCATTTAGTTTTTTATATATTAGAAATAACTTAAAATTCATAACACACTAAAATACAATAACATCCATTGAAATTAAGGAAATAATAGTATAAGATTTTGAGTATAACTATCATGATATTACAAGTTCATAATAAAATTAAAAATATGTAATGAAAAATATATGTATTTTTTAGGTTTTTACGAGTTTCATGTCGTGTTCGGGTTAGGCGGGTCCAACCCGAAATTGACATGTATTTTTCGTGTCAATTTCAGGTCGACCCAATTCTGACCTGAACCTCTTTTTTCTCAACCCTAACCTCTTTTTTCTCAACCCTAACCTGTAAAATTTATGTCATTTTCGAGTCATGTTATCATGTCGTGACCTATATTACCAACCCAATACAATACCATGTTCATGCTCCAAAGGTGGACAAGATCAAAAGTTGGATCCAATTTGATTTGGCCAGGCCACTAAAAAAGAAGGAAAAAAAAAAAAAAAAACAACCTCAGACTATGGTTGCTATACTATTGTCTAATGTACTCCGGCTTTAGTTTAGATTGTGGTTTTTAATCGTTTCATGAATCTAAGACTTCTTTTTATTGTAGAGTTTTAGTTTATTCGCGAATTTAAGATTATGTGTGTAACCGTATCAGTAGAATACATTGTACGGTCGGTACATGCATGAACATTCCTCACTGCAAAGTTGACATCAGTTTTGCTTCCTCTTCTTCTTTTTTTTTTTTTTTTTTTTTTGTCGTTTGGATCTTCGACACTATATAATTCAACAGTCTTCTTCTCCAGACATTCTTCTTAAAATACTATTAGTTCTAATTAGTGGATAGTTTGTGTTTTGTATTATGGGGGGAAGAATGTGTGTGAAAGACACTAAAAAAAAAAAAAAAAAAAAGGAAAAAGAAAAATTTCTCCACAACAAGAATAGAACAATTACCCCACTAACAAGACCCATTTAAAGACTTCAAAGATTGGTAGGAAAGGTTTAAATAGAAGCCAAAGAATGTTTAAAAGGTAAGGTACACACACAGAAGACCTAATCTTGCTGGCCCCACAAGACTGCAACTTAAGAACATTATAAGGGTTTGAATTCCTTCAACTTCAATATTTAAAGCTGTCCAAAACATTACAGAAGGGAAAGCCTTAGAACCCCAGAAATAAATTTATTAGTGACTGTCATACCAATAGGGCATAAGGAGCTAAAGCCCTTTTGTATTAAAAAAATATATTGAATGGGGTGTATTGTAGTCCCCTACACAAGTCATGTTTGAACAAGAAATAGTCCATTCTTCATTAAATATGTGAGCCGAAGATCCCAAACACCTCACATGGCTTACACACACTGACATTAATCAGAGATGTTTACGCATGTGAATCATGGAAGGTTAAAAGAAAAAATATATATATATTTTCAAGCATTGGGATTCAAGTAGTTCTTTTAAGTTGAAATCCCAGATTTACAGGAGTCAAATAATGAGATTTTTATAGAATTTAATAATAGAGATGTTTTTAACCATCGAATCAGTACCAAGATTTTACATACTTTTTAATTTTGATGCGATAACAACGTTTAGAAATATACACTACTTATTAGAAACATAATTAAATAATATTTCTAAAAGAATATATATATATATATATATATGCTTTTATTTTTATTCCCAACACTTTTATGGGGAGATTTTCCTATCATAACTGGTCGAATGATTGGTATAATTCTATTATATTGAGTCATAACAGTTACTATTTTAAGAATTAGAAGTCATTTTTAAGCATATGATAATAAGTGACTATCATGCACTGCTCCAAACAAATGTTCTTGCATGACCTTATTTGCCTATCAGAAAAAGTACATGATAAATGTAATCTTTCACGACAATATTCATATTTAAAAAAGACAATCGGTTACGATAGAACGACTGATATTAACAGTAAAAATAACAGATGTGTATATTATTATTCATATTAAAAATGACGGTCATTTATTAATGTGCCTTTTAATATTATTTATATAATTATTCATAATAAGTGTGCATGACAGTCGTCTGTTGTCATGTGCTTAAAAACGATTTATGATTTCGAAGATAATAACTATAACAACTCAATATAAGAGAATTACACTTCAATACAAGAGAATTACACTAATTCATCAGCCGATTACAATAGCACATGTGAGATAAGTCTCCTATTTTCAAACTAAGAATATATAAATTACAATCCTTCTCTTTCTTAACTCATTTGGGTTTTTGCCCATAACCCAACAAAACAAGTATTTTTAGAAGTACGGACCAGATAATTAATATGAATTTTTCACTCTCCACTTTGTCAACTTTTTTGTTCTCCTTGTCTCAACCGTGATCCATATATCCAGGTTTCAAAACCAAACCCCTGACAAGAGTTGGTGAATCTTGTGACCAGTTTTTGTCCCCTCAGAACACACGATCTGTTTTTCTTCTGTCAATGGCTTGTTTAGTCACATTACTTAGTGCCATAAGTTACATTAATTAACAAATATTGTGAAGTGGATTTTGTAGATTTGTTCCGCATCACTTCCCACAAACTCCACAAGGGAAAGAACCTAAAAAAAGCCTAAAACCTGTTTGCTTGTATTCCACACGAAGTGTGCCTAAAACTTGAAGAAGAAAAAAGCAGGGGGAAAAAAAAAAAAAAAACCACTTTTAATTATTTGCCAAGAGGTGTCATCTTTGATCGGCTTCTTACTTAAAAAGCATCGAACTTTGGAGCTTCCACAAAAAGTTGTGCACACAGTTTAATATTCCACAAGATAGTGCCTTGTAGTAGTGGGTGCACTAATTAGATGCGCCTAATAATCAACTTTATTTAACTCAAAGATATGTAAAACTCAATTAAGGAATCCAATCTAAAGTGGGGTTTTGGATTAATGGATTCCACTTAATCAATGTCTATAAAAACCCGAGATGTGATATCAAATCTTGTAGCTAGATCCCATTTCCATATACTCAATTGGACATTTTCATTTCTTCCATTTCTTACCCACATCTATTTTAACGTCTTTCACTTCATATCAAACCAAAATTATGAGACCATTTTGAAGCCTATCAATGAGGAAAGAGCCAAATCTGCGTGGGAAATGCGGATAAGGAGGAAAGGAAAGAAGACAAAGGAGAACAGAAACGTGGGTGTCTTTGTCCAAGTCCCAAACCAAAAGAATCTTACTCACACGCCCACACGCTTGGCCGCTTTGGTTTAGGCCTTCTTATTATTATCATTAATTATATCATAAGAAGCTTCATTAGGCTAATTTTTTTTTTTAAAAAATTTTTCCTCCATCTCATTCTCTCTCTTTCCAATTGGTCCAAAACCTTGACCCCGTCGACAACGCCGAGCATGTCCGTCCAAATAGCCACCTTCTCACATCTCTCCACGTGGCAAAGACACCTGCTGCTGAGATCAAGTGCCGGTGCCCATTGGTAGCTAAGCCTCACAACTTGTTAATATTATTATTGTTACTAATGTTAACAAGCCATTTGTACTATGTGCATACAAATTACACATATATAAATACGTGTGTGTGACATATTTAATCTTATGGGGTTTTGATGTCAACTGGGGTTTAAAAAAAAAAAAAAAAAAAAAAGAGAGAGAGAGATTGACCCACGTTGGCACAAGTTAGTTGGGGAGTGAGGGACGGTCGGCCTGCTTAAGTGAGACTGGTTTAGCTATTCTTACACAAACCGCCCTTATATCTATCTCTCTATCTATCCATTTTGTGTGTGTTTGTGTGGGGTGTGGTGGTGGAGCTGTATAGAAAGTGACTTCTACTACTACTACTTCTGCTACTTCTTTCTTACCCTTCCTTTCTTTCCAATTCTTATCTCCCTTGTAGCTTCATCTTCTATATTTTCTCTTTCCAATATTTTGTTTCTCTAGAGAGAGAGAGAGAGAGAGAGATGGGGAATTGCCAGGCTATAGATGCTGCGGCACTAGTGATACAACACCCATGTGGGAAGATAGAGAGGATGTATTGGCCTATCACCGCCAGTGAGGTGATGAGGATGAATCCTGGTCATTATGTTTCTTTGATTATCCCATTGCCGGTTTCCAATGAAGATAAGGAAAATCATCATCATCAAAATCATGATAATCAAGATCAGGAACAGATCAAGACCGTCCGTTTCACTCGGGTTAAGCTTCTTCGGCCTAATGAGACCCTTGCTCTTGGCCATGCTTATCGCCTTGTCACTACTGAAGGTAAAGAAAGATGAAAGAGAGTTTTTTTTTTCTTTGTTGTTGGTTCTTAATTTGCCTATGTAAGATAAAGAGTTTTGTTTAATAGTGTACTTGGTTTTTTTTGTGGCTGCAGAGGTTATGAAGGTGTTAAGAGCAAAGAAGTACGCAAAATCCAAGAAACAGCAAGTTGATTCAGTTGAGAACTCGGATAGAGATAGTGCTTCAGAGAATCAAAATCAGAGTTCAAGTTGTGATTCAGCAGTGAAGTCTGAAAGGAAGAGGTATCAGGTATATTATCATCTTTATTCTTCTTGACTTTTGTTTTTGTCAAGTTTCGTATCAATTATTATTCTTTCTTTTTCTGAAATACAATCTCTCAGTTAGACGGAAATCTTCCCCCCCCTTTTTTTTTCTTTCAATTGTGGACCTTGGGATCTTTCTCTTTACTCACTTGCCAAAGAAAAGATGTCACTGAATAGAAAAATACTCATAATAGTTTGTGTGGTATAATTTCAGGCTCTGAAACTTGAAGGGCATCGACAAAGGATGCCGTCGTCGAATGCCGGCGTAACGAGGTCGAAATCGTGGCGCCCCTCGCTTCAGAGCATCTCCGAAGCTGGAAGCTAGCTGGTGGCAGCAGCTTTGGAAATTCCGATTGGCTCAAATGCAGATTAGTTCTTTCAAGTGTAATGCACTGGAATCTATCATTTCCTGATGCTTCTTCATAGGAGGAGTTTCAACAACATTCACAAAGGAAAAAAAAAATATTACATATATGCCCCATCGATCATGGAAATGAATGGAAAATGTTTCTAGTCCACAATAGCCCAACCTTGGACTCAATTCAGATCATGCTCAAGTAATTCTTCAAATATTTGTATAGCTACCAAAAAAAATGAATGAAGTAAATAGCACGAGTTTTTGAACCTTTACTATTCTTTGTTTGCATGAGAAAATTAAACACAAAATGAAAATAATAATTTAACAATTACATGAACTAAGAGATGAAGATCATTTGGGTGATTTTGAGTTCCAAATTTCCCAATCCTGATCAACATAATTTTGAGCCCATAACAGTGAGGCCCTAGCAGCCAAAGGCGCTCCAGGCAAGTCCCTCTCCTTGAGAGCAACCATCATGTCAGTGAAAGGCTCCACCAATAATGTCCCAGGTCCTCCATACTCTTTGTGCAAGAAATTACCAAATATCTGGTTTGCAAAAACAGGCCTGTCAAATCCATTAATTAAAATTTTGAGAAGTTCAAATTTCGAGATATGGAATCTATATACAGGTAGAATGTCAAAACATGGCCAGCATCAGGCCAAACATGCACAAAAAGCTAGAACAAATTGATGGAAGCTGTCTAAGGGGGAAAACAGTGCTGGAATATTGCAGCCTACAGTAACGGGGCTTAGATAATCTCTTTTCTACGTCAATTATTGTACTGTTTTCGAGTCAAGCAAGAAATCCAAACCTCACAACTGAAAAAGGAAAAAAATAGTATTTGTTAAAGTAAATTTGTAAGAGAAAATATTAAAAGAGAAAAATTAATTATGCGTTTAGAGTAAAGACTTGTGTCATAGTTCAGATTATAATTCGTGACTCGTTATAGTGTTTTCTCTTATAAAAAATATATAAATTAAGAATAATTTTAAATTATAATTTTAAATTTATAAATTAAACGTTATTAATTTTTATAAAAAAAATATTATAATAAAAAATTTGAGTTGTGATTCGGACAAAACTAACCATAAATTTTGTTTTGCTGATTCTGTGGAAGTCCAATAATTTGGAATTGAAATCTATCAAAGCCTATAATTACCAAGTGATTACAGGGATTGACATGCAACAATTATCAGATCTTGTGAACAAAGCAATTAAAATTGACAAGTTGATTGATTGACGTATTTCTACCCAGTAAAACTCAATAGTCCTTTTGGTATTCGTTGGCTAGAATTATTACTCTGATAAGCAGTAACTCATAAGCCAAGAAAATTGGTTGTAAAGAAGGTCTCTCCAAGTACTGACAGCTTTTGTCCACTCATTCTATCTCCAGAAACGCGAAAAATATCGGAAAATAGTGAGTGACGTTTGATTTATGTATTTAAAATTATGATTCAGAATTATTTTTATTTTATGTGTATTTTTTAAAAAAAAAAATATTATAAAAAATTATGAATCATGATTTAAAATCAAAGACGAATATAAAAAATAAATGTCGCTATCTTCCAGGTGTCCAAATGTATTATTAGTCTCAACTCTTATGCATCAGCAGTTACCAATTCAGAATCAGGTTACACACACACGAGGGTTTCAGATTATATATATATTATATATATATGAGAGTTTCTCTTATCCGCTTACAAAAAAGAATTAGTGATAATTTCTTACTCTTAACTGTTGAATTTGTATTAAAAACTATTTATTTTATATATTTTTTTATTTTAATGTGATTTTAAATAAGTTTAATGATTATATAAATTGACCATACTGATAGAAAGATCTTACAAAGACAGTCCCAATATACAGGGGCAGAGGCACATGGCGCCGAGTGGAGGCTGCCACCCTTACTTAACAACAACAATAAGTCTTAATCCTAACTTAATTGGGGTCAGCTATATGGGTTTCACTTTTCCACGCAGCTCTATTCGAAATTAAATTTTTCTGAAGGCCTAGATTTAAAATGTATTTCCTAACTTCTTCGGTCCATGTAATTTTTGGTCTACTCCTCCCTCTCCTAGTATTAGGTATAAGAATATCCTCTCAAGCACGAATTGGTGCTTCTAGTGGTTTACATTGGACATGCCCGTACCACATCATGCGGCCTTCGCGTACATTATCTTCTATTGGTGCTACACCTACTTTACTACGAATAACTTCATTCCTTATGCAATACATTCTTGTATGGTCACTCATCTATCTTAACATACGTATTTTTGCCACACTTATCTTACATATATGTTGTCTCTTAATGGCCCAACATTCATTACCATATAACATAACTGGGCGGATTGTAGTCCTATATAACTTTCCTTTCAACTTAATAGGCATCTTGCCATCACATAAAGCTCTTGTAGCATTCTTCCACTTAACCCACCCTGCCTTAATCATATGTTGAATATCCTCTTCTATATCTCCTTCGTACTACACTATAGACCTAAGATACCTAAACTTCCTAGAAGCCTTAATCTCCACACCATCTAAAGAAATTCCATCACTCTGATTACTTGAGTAACCTACAATGCATGTATTCAGTTTTCGTCTTACTTAACTTAAATCTCTTCATCTCGAGAGTCTGTCTCTACAGTTCTAACTTGTGGTTAACTCTTTCCACTCTTTCCCTATGTTTATCAACTAAAATTATATCATTCGCAAAAAGCATACAACAATGAACAAAATTTGACCCCTTGAAAGATTCTAACCTTTTATTTTACCCCCACTAAAATTTAATATTCTCATATATGCCCCCATTGACTTTTACAATTTTCTTCATTTTATTCTTAGATTTGATTTATAAACAAGTTTACTTAATTTACTCACGAGCAATTGTAATACCTTTTATGATATCTTATATTTTTTACTACATCACATTTATATTATCATATTTTAAATTTATGTTAAATTTACATTTCTTTGATTTGAGCTTGAGTTTGACTATGAAAATGACTTGAGTATTCTAAACATTTTGTAATTCTTTTATTTTATTGATAGCGTTAATTAGGATCTATTTTATAGTTAAATTGATTGTTGGTCAAGCAAATATAAGATGTAGTATAATTTTAAAATCATAAGCTATAAATGTGACAAATATAAAATATAAGATGGTTTTTTTATCTCCTCAAAATGCAAGACATTGAAATGAAAAAAAAAATCTATGGTAGAGTATTCTTATTGGTAATGCACAATTCAAAACGCTAAATTGATCAAAATTATACAATAAAATAGGTATATAAAACTAACACCTTTTAATATATTAAAAAAAATCTAAAGTTTCAACACTAACACTAGAGTGGGGTATTTTTTCATATAATAAATTCACAATATGTATCTAATAGTTCTTGAAAAAAATTATAATATAATTTATTGTATACTTTTTATGTTATTTATGTTTTAGAAAAATATATATAAACCCGCTCCCATTTGTATAAAACGCTAGTTCTGCCACTGCCAATATATATGTATATATGTGTATAATTTCTTAGTCAAAACAAAGAAAAAATCAAACCCCACTTCAGGTATTGAAAAGTCACATTGTATCTTCATTAGCCTTCGCCAGCTATTTTTGGTCTAAAGTGTACACTGAAATGAATAAGATTTTAGTGTAAGTGACAAAAAGGAATGTTTCAGAGATGCTAATATTATACTCTTTTTGTTTCAAATTAACCTCATTATCCCAGGCTAGGTAAATTGGATGATCAGATCATCAATCCTTTTCCATGTTAAAAGTTTCAAACAAGCTTAGGACGACAAATCACATACCTGGAACAGGACGACCAATGCATATCTGACCACTTTTGGCCACAATAATCCTATAGCCACTAATTTCTTGTAATAATAATTAAAAAAAAATGTATATTTTTGGTTGGCAAAGGTATATCAGAAGTCATCCATTATGTTCGACTAAAACATATAGTGTACACACACAAATGCATATATATATATATATATATATATACATAAAAGCAAATAAATGAGAGATATGAGTTGTGTTTGAAGTTGTTTTTATTTTTATTTTTTACGTTTTTTGAGAAATAAAAAATGAAAACGGGAGGGAAACTAAGTTTGGCACAATTAAAGATAAAAAAATGAAATGAAAATGATTTTTTGATTTAGTATAAAATGAGAGAGAAATGAAAAACGACTTTTAATTATCTTTCATATTTTGTTTCCGTTTTCTCATCTCTCGAGGAGAGAGAGACATTAATAGATTTAATGAATTTTTTTATACTAAAAATAATCTCTTGATAAAATTACCAAACGTATTTTTAAAAATAATTTTTGTCTGAGATTAAAAACGTTTTCATTTCCATTTTCATATAAAAAATAAAATTATTTTAGAACGAGTTTTAAATGCACACATTGTCATTTAAAACTCGAGGGCACAAATGTTAATCATGCACGATTCGTTCGGATAATTAGAGTTTTTAACTTGAGTTAAAAAGTGAATTTATGTAAGAAAAAATACTATTATAACAAAAAATATTAAATTTAAATTTTTGTGAGAAAAAATATTGTAATAAGATTCAAACTAATGAAACGAGGATGACCTAAATACTTCACTCTCAGCAGAAAAAAAAAAAAATAAAAGGACTAATAATTTCTCTACAGAGGGCCTTTCAAACAATCTTTCTCTTTATTCCATAACGAATTTACTAGTATAGTATACATGAAGTAAATTCATTACAAGGTTCTCAAAGATACCATTAACAAAGACCATTATAAAAAAAGAGAGAAAAAAAACACGCAAAACCTTTGGAAGTTCTAAAAGATAATAATAGAAAAAGGAATTTTCTCTGTCGAAAAAGCAATTTTTAGCAATTCACAAACGAAATTTAACCTGAATTTTCGGAAGTATAAATTAGAAAAGAAGTACCTGAACACAAACTTCAACAACATCACTGAGATCATCCCCGAAAGTCTCCTTCTCCTTCGACAGCCTCTTCAAGAGGCCATTTCTGAACTTTCTCGTCTCCTACAATCGTCACCAGAAATTAAAAAAAAAAAAAGTACATTGTCCAAAAAGAAAAAAAAAAATTCACACACCAATTTTGCCTCTACTTACAGATTCGGCAAATTCTGGAATGGGGTCGGGATAGGCGTACTTCCGGAACGGCGTCGTTGCTCTCCGACACCAAACGACGCCGTTTTCGGAGAAAAAAGTGGAGAAGTGGAGAGAGGAAACGGCGGCGCTTTTGGTTTTGGCGGGAAAGAGCGGTGGTGAAATGCGAATTGGAGGGAAGTGGATGGTGGTGTGCGGAAAGTACAGCAGAGCCATCGGATTATGGTTGGTGTAGTTTTCTGTTTGCTGTTTGGCTGGCAAGAAAGTGAAGTAGTTGTGTTCGAATACGGGCGGGACTCGGATGAGCAAGCGTGGGTTCGGTATTTGTGAAGCTTGCGACCGTCCAATTTCTGAAAGTTAGTTAGTCGTTATGGGATAAGTGGACTGCCATACTGGTGGAATAACGACGTGTGGGCTGAGTTGGACTTGGGTGGAAATGTGGGCTGAGTGGGAGCCCAATTATGTATAACATAGCTGTAACGGGGAAAGAGAGAAATAACCGAGTTTATGGGGACTAAAAATTGCTGATTGAAATTTGGAGAAAAATTAGACCCGTCCACTTTGTTAATTTGAATTGAGATATGATTTCATATTAAAATGTTTTATTATAGTAGAAAAGGCAGATGTAACTTTTTATAAAAACTTATAACAGTAGTAAAATTGAAATTGAAAACTCGAATCCGCCTTAGTAAATAAATGTTCTGTTATGCAGCTTACTGTAGCAGAATTTACATTTGCCAAATTCTTTTTATATGTTCTTCGTATGAATTTAGGCAAAGAAAAAACGTGACTTTCATCTTTCGGGGGGATGTGCCCCCTGAAACTAAAGAATAAATAAAAAGAAAGATAAAACTAGCGAGTGAAGTGATTCACGGTTGTGAAGCACGAACGAATAAGGGAGAGATAGGCGACCGTAAGGCATATTCAACTTCTAAAATAAATTGATTCATGGTAACACACTAACAAAATTGATTCACAGTAACAAACTAACAAAATGAGACGGAAAGAAAATCGGACCTCGATTGCCGACTTCTCCACCTCCCTAACTTCCAAACTCATGGTCGTCTTCGCCTGCGTGGAATTATGACCAACTTAATTGGAGAAAAGACAGAAATAAAAATAATAATCAACAATAAACAATAAAGAGTCGAATTCGAACCTTAGGGGGAAATTTAATCATCCTTCTCATACTCTTCATAATCTTCTCATACTCATACTCATACTCTTCATAATCATCCTTCTCCGTATCTTCATAATCTTCTCATACTCATTCGAGCCTTGAAAATATCTTCTCATACTCTTCATAATCATCCTTCTCCGTATCTTTCAAGAACTCCATTGAAGAAGAGAGCAGAAATGTGAACTTGTGGTGTTTGAATACGGGCGGGACGTGGGATGAGTAAGCTTGAGTTTCGTGTGTTTATAGTTAATCGATTATGGTATAAGTGGACCACCAATGACGATCAACAACATGTGGGCCGAATTGGAGTCTGATGGACATGTGGGCTGAATGGGAGCCCAATTATGTAAACATTGCTATAATGGGAGAAAGAAGGAAATAACCTAGTTTACGAGAATAAAAATCGAAATAAGGTAATGGCAGAAATTTGAAGAATGACTAGTAAATACGTAAATTTGGATTCATCACGCAGCTAAATTACTAAAATTAATAGCAGAAGCTTGGAAGAGAGATGGAAAAAAAAAAAAAAAAAGAATTGGGAAAGGGGAAATGAGAGTGGACATGGAACAAAAATAAAAGAGAGATGAAAGAATAACACATAGATAAAAGAAAAAAACATAAAAAATGGTACTTACTAATAGCTTAAATAAATATGATATTCACTCCAAGAAAGATTTAAAAGTGTGTTATTCCTTATATATGCTTTTTTTTTTTTGAAGGTATATTACCTATAATTTCTAGGCTATATAGAAATGGTGTAGAGTGTAGTGTAATTAGCTTAAATAATTAGGTTATAAGCCACCTTTATCGCCACTATTTGAAGAAAAATGTAATAGATGTTAATTTTTCCCACATACGCTCAAGACTTTTTAGAACATCATTCCCTTTCTTCTCATTTCTTTTGTCTATTGCCATCCTCTGCGCTCGTGCCCGCTGTCCAAATTTTCGTCGCTCAAAATCTCCCCCCGCCGTATACATGCTGCTTCCCGCCTACTACTAACGTCTCTTGCTGCACCGCAAGCTCGACTATGTCGCCTGAGTTTTCAGTAACACTATAACACGAGATCATACTTGATTACTTTCATATCATGATGGACTACTTTTCAGTATTATGGCAGTATACGGCTGGTAAGATGGTAGATTACCATCACTGGGGGCTACCCCAATATCCCAATACGACACAGTAAAGTGTCAAGATTATTTTTTGGATTCTAAAATTTGTTAACGTTTCATAATCTTCGAGTATTTTTTCAGTCATAGCAAAAAATCATTCGAAAAATTGTGCTTACGGTATTGTTGCAAAGTTCCTTAAGAAAGTTGTGTAAGCTTTGAATAAAATTCTCTCAAAGAAGTGTTCTTGGAATTTTATTGTATACTAAACATTATCTTTTTGATCTATCAAAGAAAACATTATATTTTTGAGCAATTAAAGAAAAATGAGGAAATTATTGTTAAGGAGTTAAAGAAAGAAGAAAAAGAGTATGTTCTAATCCAAACATCAAAAGTGTTGCGGCTGTAATATTCTCAATTATCGGAGGTGGGTTCCACTATTGGCGATAATTATACTACGTAGAAAATTTTCATATTTAAGTTGAAATTTAATATAATTTTTAAAATAGTATAAAAATACTAAAAATGACACAATAATTATCATAATAATCACTCATTTTGTATTATATAACTATATATAATTGTTATTTTAATGATATCAAATTTTACTATTCTTAAAATATTTCAAAACTTTTGCTATATTTGGATGTTACTACTTAAATTTTGCTATATGTGTAAAGAGCCCTTCAATATAGCCCTCCTAAATTATTGTTTTTAATTTGGCCCTTATTTATATATGTGCATATATTTTCCCGCTTGACAAGAATATAAGCTGCCTGCAGGTTGCTTCCTCTTAGCATACTACTCAAGAGGTGCATGGATGAACTTTTCAAACTTATCGGCTTATCCATGAAGTTGTCGATGAAAATATTGCTAGGACCACTATATATTACTGAAGAAAAAGTAAATTAAAAAGGTGTATTAAAAAAAAAAAAAAACCAATAACGCGAAACGCCATTAATATGGAATTTCCAAAAGTTATGTGGAAAGGGTAAACATTCTAATATAGAGCAATGCGAAACGATGTTCTAATAAACAAATCCACGAAAAAGGACAATCGTGGCATTGGCATGGCGTAGCATAATGATTAACAAAATAACAACAGCCAGAAAGTACACGAAAGAACAAGAGCAGTGCTAAGATCAGACTTCATACAGTCTGTTTAGTTCGTTAATTTAAGTTGTGATATAATTTTATATAAATTTTTTTTTATTATAATAAAAAAATTAAATGTAATTATTTATGAGAATTTTTACTGTAACAAAACTTAAATTAGTGAAATGAACGGAACTTAAATCAGTCACTACCCTCAACATTAGACATGTGGCAAACTAGTTTTTCCAACCAACATCCTAATAACCAAGTTCAAATAAAAGCCAATATTTTGGTTCGAATTACATACCTTGCCATAGTCTTTTACAAGACAAACCCTTTCAGTTCAACAATGTCGCAACTAGGAACTGGCCATCAGCCGAAATCGAAAACCGATCCAATATAAACTACCCAAAATAAAGGCAGCGATCGTTTCAAAGTTCAAAGATTTCATCCATGATTTCCTCAAAAACTTAAAAAAATAAAAAAATAAAAATCTTTCATCCGGTTTCTATTTTATCTAATGATGAAAACATTCACCATTTTCTCTTCAACCCATAAAAAAAAAATCCTAAAATATTGAGACGATGGAAAAGAATGAGACCTTAAAAATTTTCAGAAAATATGGCTAGAAAAGTAAGAGATTTTTCAAGAAAAATCAAGAGCAACTTTAAGAAACCTCAACACCAATGCTGTGTGAACTTTGGTTTTTTTTTTTTCCTCTCTTTTGCAGCAATGTTGGAAAGTGTGGTTTAAGATTAATTTGTCTTCGTCCTTTTGTTTTCTTTATCCCATTTCAAGGATTTTCTTCTATCCATTGTCCTTTTGTTTTCTCTCTCCCAATACCCCTTCTTCTCTTCCAGTACCCTCTGTTTTTTTTTTTTTTCTTGCGACTTGGTTGAAACAGTTCTGCAAAAGATTGAAACGAGGGAGCAGAGAAGAAAGCAATGGCAATATTTGTAATTAATACCAAAAAAATGGTTTTTGGTTTAAGCTTGGTTGTTTGTTTTTTTTTGTTGTAAATCAAGTTTGCCACGTGTAATTTGTTGAGTAGAGCGTCTGAGTTTGAATAAGTGTTTGGTCTTAGCACTGCTCGAAAGAACAAAGCACGAAAGTGTATGATCATATGTGAGATATTCCCCACAATTAGCTAGATATATATTATGTGCCCTATGGTATATATACACATGATTTATATTTATTCGAGTGTATTGTGTATTGTTTTTTGATTGGGGGAGGAATCTCCTCGAGCAGCTAGTAGCTTGTTTCGTTTTACTCATGCAATGCCTTTTACTATTTTATCATGTCAGTTCAATATCACACATTGGCCAACCAATCGATCAAACTAATTTTATATTATATATATATCCATATGTAAATAAGAAATTATTTATTGGCATGACTACATATATAAGAAATATCTTCCCGTTGTGGGATATTGTTTGGAATGCACTTGGATGGGATATTAATTTTTATATATCTGTTTTTATTTTTTTTCGTACCCTTGTACGTGTTACTTAGGGGATGTTTAGTTAGAGGATTCAAATTATGATTTGAATTATGGTTCATAGTTCGCTACAGTATTTTTTTTTACAAAAAAATACACGTAAATTAAAAATAATTCTAATCACACAATTTTAATCCATGAACCAAACGTCTCTTTAGTGTTATATACATATACATATACATACACGTAAAAAAAACAAGGTTTGATGCGCTCTTCAAGGTTGGTAGACTTTCATTAATGAGACCAGTTAGGAAGATATATGGAAACGATGTATATCTCCTTGCACATTAGTAATTACTATTTAACATTAATGATCACTTTGGAAAGTAAAATGTACCTTTGTCAAAAAAAAAAAAAACATTTCCCCTCTCCCCATCCAGTCTTATCAAATTACCATCTTTATTGTACGTTCCTTTCTATAATCAACTTTCATTATAATGTA